TAAATCTAACAAGCTATTCAATATGAACTAAACGTCACAAGATTTCTAATCACGTTTTTTTTTTTCCTTCCCCAGCTCTTCTTTTTTTCTTTTGGTTGATTTCTGTCACAAAAGTTTACGTTTTGTATTTCAGACCATTTCCCTCTTGAACATTTACCTTCATAACCTTGAAAACTGCCCAGTCTGCTGATGGTTTACACTGTAAGTTCTCCCTTCATCTGCAGGAGCCTCCAGCACTGACTGCACTTAGTTCACAGATCACACACCTCCCCTCCACCTCCCCACCAACCCCCCTCACAGAAAACTGTAGGAACATGTCCTCTGCATCATTTCCCTGCAGATAGAAAAAGTGGCCCCGTGGTGTCGTGCAGTTCTGTGCACAGCTTTGTTGTCACATCCTTTTATCATTTGGAACATGTTAGACTTAAAATCTAATCTCATTCAACTACCTCACACACGGAGTACACACACAGCACACATCTACGACAGCTCCCCCTGACTTCTCCTTAGTGGAACAGAACAGACGTATGTGATAAATGCTTGTATTCTAGTGTACTTCCTGCACTAAATGAAATCATGCTGCAGAAGGGTTATGCTTAGAAAGGTAGAACATTGCCAAATAGTTTCAAACTAACCAGGAAAAGGCCACAAAGGGGATAAGCTCTAGATTCTGACATGCTTCTTAGAAAAGGTCCAAGTGCAGATTAAAGCTGAAATATGGCAGAGTAGACTGTTTTTCCTCTATTCAATAATAAAAAAAAGAGTACTTCTAATCTGTGTTGACAGGTTTTAAACATTAAAGCAACAAGCGTCATGTTATATTGCTCCAGTTTAACTAGTTTGAAGACTTTCTTTTGCCACCAGTATCCTTCTTTCTCTGCCTTTCAACGTCCTCTTGTTGACCTTTTTTTTTTTTTTCGTAGGCGCCGTCAGCGATGTGGAAATGCAGGAGCACTACGACGAGTTCTTCGAGGTGAGTGACCCTTTGTGCCAGCGCGTCGCCCTCATTTCCACATATTTGCACCAGGTGACATGAGGAGGGTGTTTATCTGACGTTGCACAATTCACAATGGGGCAAAGACTTACTCATCTGATTATGTGACAGCTGTACTTTAACTACTGTCGATCAGATCCATTAATGACACAAAAAGACAAGCTATGATTACACTTTGAAGGGCAGACAGTTTGCTTATTGTTGTCTTGTTTCTTTTGGCAGGAGGTGTTCACAGAGATGGAGGAGAAGTATGGGGAGGTGGAAGAGATGAACGTGTGCGATAACTTGGGCGACCACCTAGTCGGCAATGTCTATGTAAAGGTTAGTGGAGAGTGTCTCTTACAGGTGTGTTTGTGTCATTTCTAGTCAAAATGACTGAGAAAAAGCTCCCTAAGGATCGTTGGACGTTCAATTTTCAGTGCAGATGTTCTATAAAAGTTTCATTTGTTCATATTTGTCCCATTAGTTGCCACGAGTTGTTTGTAATCTTAAGTGTGATCGTATCGCCTGTGCGTAGTTTCGACGCGAGGAGGACGCAGAGAAAGCAGTCACGGACCTAAACAACCGCTGGTTTAACGCCCAGCCCATCCACGCCGAGCTCTCCCCCGTCACAGACTTCAGGGAAGCTTGCTGTCGTCAGTATGAAATGGGGTAAGTCGTTTCTTTCTTTTTTAACAGAAAGGGAGAAAATGATTCCTATATTTTGACCATCAGATATGAATGAAGAGAAGAATATATCTCAAATGTACTTGTCAGTGAAGACATATTAGTATATATTGATAACAGCTGTAAAACCTGAACATCTGTTTCCATAAAACATGTGTCTGTCCTACACTCCAGTGGATGTGAAACAGCCGTAAATCATTGCTGCAGCTGCCAAACCAGTCCAGCTAAAACCAAAACACGTTATCATTTATGAAAGGAGCTGTTGTTTTTTACTTCTAGTGCGATTAAGGGCTTCAGGTAAAAGCAGGAAAGGCATGTGGTGTTAGCGGAAGTGAAGAGAGGATAATAAGATCATCCTTTATTGATCCCCAGAGGGGAAGTTCGGGCGTTGCAGCAACACAAAGACAAGTAGCAAGTAGGTAAGTACAAATGAGAATTCAAACAGAATAGATGAGATGAATACAAATCTAATAAACAGCAGTGCAGCTGAATAACACACAGTTTGATATGAGGTATAATATAATATGAGGTGCACGAAGAGGGAGTGAGATATCTGACATGATACAGAACAGTGTGGTATGTTTAACTATGTGTTATAATGTGGGCTGGCTGAGCCTTAAACTCCAGGCTTCCTCAGTGAAAAGTCATTTGTGCTCTTTCAGTTTACAGATTGGGAATCTGGTTCATTACATGTTGCATATTCTTAAATGGCTGTGGAAATGACCTGGACATGCAAAGAAACCGCACACATGCTGTCGCACTAGTAGGGGGTCAGATGGAGGTCTAAAGGCTCAGGTTTGCACTGAGGAACCCTGTCATGTAAATTATGTCATGGCAGCAGGGCGATAAAAGTGTCTTCTGCCGTCAGCCTGCACGTGTCCTCCAGCGGGGTTCTGAAATGCTACCAGCTGCACGGACACAGTGTGACTCATCACGGTGTCTCTTGAAAGCACAGATAAACTTTGTCCTTTCCACTCTGGGAGGAAACTTCAGCTTTTTCACGTTTACGACTCCCTCTGTGTTTTTCCATTGGATTGCAGCGTGTTTGCTCGGCCAATGATAGGATGCAGTCAGAGTGGAGGGGGGGGCTGACCAAGATCAGATGTTTTGCTTGGTGGGCTGGCATGCTCCTCGGCATGTGTTGGAGTTATTCCTTGGGGGCGCTGCTCCAAGATTCCAAGCCAATTTTAACCCTTTTATGTCCCGTTTTCTTCTCCCCTCCAGAGAGTGCACCCGAGGTGGATTCTGCAACTTCATGCACCTGAAGCCCATATCGCGGGAACTTCGAAGGGAGTTGTACGGCCGCCGCAGGAAAAGGTAGAGAACATTTGAATAAGAAATTTTGTGTATTTGTCTGATGTGTGTCTTCATAAATGAGTCCTTCTCTTATCTCACACAAGGCATCGTTCACAATCGCGCTCCCGGGAACGACGCTCTCGCTCCAGGGACCGACGGCGAGACCGCGGCGAGAGGCGGAGATCGAGGGACCGAGAGCGCTCTGGAAGATTCTGAAAGAAGCCCAGACTTGACCCTGTGTCCTACCAAATCCCTCCACCTTTAACCCCAGAATTGATGACAAAGTTATTTTTTCCTTTCTTTTTTTTTGTTGGTGAAGTGTTTTTTTTCTTTTATTCCCTTTTTTTAAGACGAGCTTGTGTCGCTTTCTCAATAAAAACAGATTTGTAATTCTGCACTGGCTGCCCTTGTTTTTAGAACATCAGCTTATGTTTTATGAAAAAGACCTTTTTATACGAGTTGTGCTGATTATTAAAATACTGCTTAGCCTAGCTGTGCAAGAAAAGTTAACAGGTTTCATCTTTTTCTCAGTGGTTCAAAAGAAAATGTCAAACTATCAGGATACATTTTGAATAATCTGATCCTGTTACTAGAAGGATTTAATAATTCAAATCACCAGTGACTCACTCGTATCTTTATCTTCAAGGGTTGTCATTTGCTTCAGCAGAAATTTAAATTGGTAGAAACAAACCTCACTTTTTTATTAACTGGAGATCTGATTTAAGTTGGAAACATGCCTTTTGATGATTACATCTTGAATTGACAGACCTTTGTGTCCTTTAAGAATCAGGACAACCACATTCAACAACAAAGCAACAACAGTGGAAATGAATAAAGCTATTCATAACGGATGGTTGCAAATCTCACTGTAACTGTTTTTCATACATCACACCATGACTGATGCAATATGTGCCAAAGCTTGATCAGCCAGATCTACACCTTTCACACACTTCCACTTCTGTTTTCTTAGGCAGCTCTGACAAAAGCTGAGGCGGCATGACACGTGGATTTTCTTCCAGGGAACTTGAGCAAAGCCATTTGGTCAAACGCTTAACAGAAGTAATAACGATCGAAATTAAATATAAAAGTAACGGCAACAAAGTCATAGCGTCGTTTTGTCTTTAACCCGGTGTTCACTGACGAGCTTTGCGAAAATGAAACCAAGACAAACAAAAATATAAAAACTTGTCTTTTCCATATGAAAGGAAATATGTGTGTTGTGTTTTCATTTTGTAATTATGTAAATAGTTTTTTTTAATCGTCATTCGACAACAAACTTGGTTAAAATGTGACTTTGGACACTTTTAACAGCTTTCATTTTAACCCTGAGTATTTTGGGGACTGACAGACTTAACATGAGAAGTTCTCAAGGTGGTGTGTGTGTGTGTGTGTGTGCGCGCGTGCGTGTGTGTGCGCGTGTGTTGAGCGTGTGTGTGTTGTGCATGTGTGTGTTTGTGCGTGTGTTTGTGCGTGTGTGTTTGTGCGTGTGTGTGTTTGTGTGCGTGTGTTTGTTGAGCGTGTGCGTGTGTGTTGTGTGCGTGCGTGTGTGTTTGTGCGTGTGTGTTGTGTGTGTGTGTGCGTGCGTGTGTGTGTTGAGCGTGTGCGTGTGTGTTGTGTGCGTGTGTTTGTGCGTGTGTGTGTGTGCGTGCGTGTGTTGAGCGTGTGTGTGTGTTGAGCGTGTGCGTGTGTTTGTGCGTGTGTGTTTGTGCGTGTGTGTTGTGTGCGTGTGTGTGTGCGTGCGTGTGTGTGTTGAGCGTGTGTGTTGTGTGCGTGTGTGTGTGTGTTTGTGCGTGTGTGTTGTGTGCGTGTGTGTGTGTGTGCGTGCGTGTGTGTGTGTGTTTTGCGTGTGTGTGTTTGCTCAATAAAAGGTAAACAGATGGCGCAGGCTACTTTAACACACCCGCTTTCCCCACACACCCTTATTGAGAAATCTCTCCTCCGATTGGCTGTGCAGGCCAAACTGACGCCCTCGCCGCAGCCAATCAGAGCACGCATGTGAACTTTACCCACGTCCTCCCTCGCTCTGTCCACGTGTGTCGTCACGAAACCCGTCGTCTCTGTCGGAAGTGGCTCACTCCGAGGTGGCGCTCACAGGCAAGCGGGTTGTTGGTGATTCCTTTTTTTCTTCTTCGTGTTTTCTCGGGCATATTTACCACAGCAGGTGAGTGAGGATGGAGGAGAAAAAGAAAACTGTAGGAAAAAGAAACGTATAGATATCAGACCACGTGGTGTTTGACGCGCTGCACAGACGCTGTTTCTGATGCAATATTGTCTCTGCGTCTCTGCAGCTGTTATTTACCGGCTGGCATTTCTCCTTTATTGCTCTTTACGGTAAATGCATCATACTTTATGTTTTTACGTTTATGTAATACAGAAAAACGTCAATAACCTGCATCTCCAGCATCATTATTAATCATTGCTGAATCGTCATTATTGTGCGTTTATTCCTCTTTGCACCGCGTTTTTTAATGCTTATCATTTTAATGTGTAATATATATGCCCTTTATTATTTTTTTTATATAAAAAAATATATTTTTTCGTTATTTTATTGAAGGATTACCCTTTCCACTGTGGATTAATGGCTCACTTTAATGTTTGATAAAATCATTTTATGTCTAAACCACAAATATATGAAAAAATAATTGTTTTTTGCAATTGGTACCAGTTATTGAATCCTCTAAACGCAGCCATTCAGTTTAAGTGATTAGTTGCTTTGATTGTTTTTATTCCCTACTATGGAGTCGAAAGTGTTTTTTTTTAAGACGTGAAAGGATGCTGGTGTTGTCACCATCATTTAAAAAAAGCAGAAATGTTGAGATAGCTATATTGTAAGACAGATTAAATAATTTAATGCTGTTTTTATAACCTGTTTCAGCCTTTAAAAAAGAAAACTCAATTAAATGAATCAATGAAACCAGAAATATTTCATTGCTGTCATGTAAATGTTGTGCCCACAGTCTGTGTTTTCACCTTGCTGCTACACAACACTTGATTAACGTAAAGGTCCTTCATTGTTGTCCTTTGGTATCTAATGATGCATTATCATTTTGGCCTCCTGACCATGTGGTGGCTTTTTTTTTTTTTTTTTAGATGTCCATGCCTGCAGTTTTACATTGTGTGTTCACTCGAAGCATTCCTGCTTTTCACGTTTGGCTCACAGTTTGTTATGGATGAGTGACCAGCTATAGTATGATCTCTTTGTGCTTTCCACCAGCTGATACTTTCATGTGTTTGTTGCTGGCAGAGCAATTACCAAACAATCTGTGTTTAACCATTTTTACATAGCATAAATCTTAAAGGGCTGCTGTTCTGAACATACCAATGCAGATTAGAAATGCCCCCAATTTAAGCAGATCACTAAATCTGATTAGGTAGGAATGTTCTAGGCATATTTCATTAGTTTGGATTTGATGTCAGTGGATTATTTCTCCACCTTTTCCCAGGCTGGAGGATTTCTCTTCAGGATTACATTGTTGGCAACTGTGTTGAGTATAAACAAAAACAGAAGTTTCTCATTAAATCACCCTGGAGGTCTTGTCTGTCTGGGCTGAGTGCCACATGTGCCCTCAGGGAGGATCATATTCCCCCCCCCTCTCTGTTAAACCGTGCAACTCCAGTGAAACCGTAACCAGTACTTTGGCTGCAGAGGTCTGGTGTCAAGTTTAGAAGTCACTAATAAAGGTTAACATCTGAGATTGGTCATCGGCCAAACAGGTCACGATGTTTGCAGCGATTGCTGTTTTCTGAGGTCGAGTCGGGAAGTCAGCAGAACATTTTTCTTTATTAGTGCTTCACTAACTCTGGAGCGACATTTCCCCGCAGCAGCTTTCTCTCCCATGCGGAGCTGTTTGCTTAAGAGGATGTAGTCGGATCACAGGGTCTGAGGTGGTGGAGACGCAGAGAGGCCAGGGCTTTAACAGCTGGCCCCTGTGTGTGTGTGTGTGTGTGTGTGCACTGTGTGTTAGTGCAGGTTCATGTGCTGCAGGTCTAGTGGACATACAGGGGGAGCTAATGGATGTTTAGATCAGTAAATGTAAAGAGACGAATACAGCACTAGGATGCACATGACATTGTGAAGTTGTCATGTGTGGGGCTGAGGATTGTCACTGTGTCCATTTATTTTTTTTAGACGCTCGCTGATGCATAAAAATCCAACTTGTTATGGAACAAAAAAGAAGTCCTAGTCACCCAATGTTGAGTAACTTCTTGTTCTCATCTTCCCATCCTCCCATCTTTGGCTTGGTGGACAAACAGTGGAGTAAAAAAAACAATTATACGGGACACAATAAATGAGTATAATGAGCAGATAACATTTTTAGAAGAATAAAATGTCTTATCCTGTTTTTAAAAGGTGTAGTTACATAAATTGATATCAAGTCTTCATCTTTTTTTTTTAATTATGTTGCTGATTATCTTCACTAATACTTAAGGAATAAAAACATTTATGGCTTATCTTTGGTCTGTTCTGCAAATATTTATCACCCTGTTGTTTGTTACTCCAGTCAAAGATAACACTTGGTTACACTTAGTTAATCATTTGGGACTTTAACAACGTTTATAGGTTACAACCAATCATTAATTTCCTGTTTAAGTTCACAAACACAGATAATCTGAGAACACACACACACACACACACACACACACGTCAGATCACGACTCGGCATATTGCTCTCTTTCCTGTCACCTCGTAATGCATGTTTTTGAACACGTGTCCCTGCTTTGGTTGAACAGTGGCCGAATGATGCAACATGAGCCGGACGTGGGTTTCCTGTGCCCTCAGTTCTGTTCTCTCAGGTGGAACTGATTACAGCCGAGTGGCCAATTTGTTTGGTTACCACGACTCTGTTAAATGTTGAAGATGGTGTGGAACGCGAGGAGATGAAAGGGCGGTGAAGGATCAACAAAGACAGAGTGTCCTGCCAAATGGTGGAGCTTTTTTTTTTTTCTGTTAATGCTGAAATGACTCAGCATCAATAGAAGAAAGGTGCAGCTTAACGTCTACCTGCTCCTGCTTATGTAACAATTAGAAGTTAATGGATTTTGGAGTCTTTTCAAAGTCAATAAGATCAGACAGTAGCTTTCTCATTCTTCTCTTTTGGTGGTTCCCTTTTGAGTTGTGTGCTGTTATCTTGTTTTTATGAAGTTTGGGCTTCAAATCCTCAAGGCTTTTTGGTTCCCCGCAAATATGTGTTGATTTTGAAAGCTTTTCAAGGACAAAAAGAGATTTTCTCGGTTGCATAATACTTTATGATTGTAGCCAGCAGTTTGTCCCGTGCAGCTTCTTTATTCCTGGAACTGTTTTTGCTGTTGGGCTCCGTTCGAGGGTCAGATGAACCGTCAGCTGAAGTTCTGATACACTCTGTGTAGACCTTCACGATCACCAGAGGATGAACCCTGCCAACCTCGGTGACTCATCGGGTTGACTTTTTTGGTCTTTGAGTTAAACGTTTCGACACTCAAAAGATAGATTGCTGTGACATTTGCTTCAGACCTTCATGTCAAACTTTAAATAGATCCATCAGGGCTGTTTAACAAGAGTGTGGCGATGGCAAAGCATGATTTAACAAGTGGATCTACATTTCTATTAGTCCTCCAACTTCTGTTGCACAAATTTCAACAAACACCCCGCTGTACTATTTCATTCTTTTAGAGTTAACTGTGTTAAATCTTGGATTCTTTTTGTACTTCCAATGAGTGAAATCGTTTCTTCCATTCTGCCCCCAGGATAAGTCATGCCGTCAGTTCCTTCTACCAAAGACGCCGTGCTCAAGGCTCCCGTGTGCCCCCACGCTGCCAAGATGCTCAGCCACACCAACGGGGAGGCCAAGCTCCGCGAGGGCCCGTTCCCGCTGAACGGGGTTGACAAGCTGCACTCGGTGGAACCCGAAGAATCCACCCGGACCATTCAGATCAACACAAAGAACGCCAGTCCGGAGAGGAAATGGATCCGGCCTGACCTACCCAGCCGTTGCAAGTGGAGCCTGGGAGCTTCAAAAGCCGACAACCCTCACACACAAATCCCGAGGTGATTCTTCTTATTATTCTTACCCCAAAAATCCAAACTGGTGTTTCATCATGGACATTTAGTTGTGCTGTTTTGATTTTAGTGACACGATGGAGTAACAAGTAAAAGAACAAGTAAAACCACAGGACAATAACACTTGTTTGCACTTGTTTCATTGGTTTGAGGAATCTTAATTATCACCTTTCACAACAGTTACATAAGCTTGTTTTCACAATACATCTATGAGTGTGTCTCATTGCTGGGAAACACTGTCTTTCTCCACCTTTGTCCCGTCAGAACTGTCTCTCCGGCCATCCTCCCAAACATCCTGCACAGGATCGGAGACACTCCCTTGGTACGCATCAACAAGATCCCCAAAGCGTACGGACTCAAGTGCGAAATACGTGAGTCCCCGAGCGCACAAGCACAGACACGTCCTCGCATCAGACCGCTGGTGTGACTGTTTGTCATGTTTGAAACGAACAACGAGCTCAGGACTTGCAGCTTTCTGATAAATACATGTTTTTGTTGTGGTGTTCCTAGTGGCAAGTGCGAGTTCTTCAATGCCGGCGGTAGTGTGAAGGACAGGATCAGCCTGCGAATGGTGGAGGACGCGGAGAGAGCCGGCCTCCTTAAACCCGGAGACACCATCATAGAGCCCACATCTGGAAACACTGGTAACGAGCTGCATGTGCTGCTATGTTTGGTCGGGATGTGAAAGCTACACATTGCAGCAGGGTTTTAAATGTCTGTGTCTGTTTTCTCGTTTGTTTGTTTGTTGTTTTTAGGTATCGGGTTGGCCCTGGCTGCAGCTGTGAAAGGCTACCGCTGCATCATCGTCATGCCCGAGAAAATGAGCATGGAGAAGGTGAGGTGTCCGTCATGCAGAGACTTTCACTGTGCAAACTTCCCTGCCATGAAAAAAAAAAAAAAAAAAGCCACTCTGACGCTCGTGCACAAACATGTTGCACAATCAGATAACAGCCTGAGGCGTTCTCTTCATGCAGTGTTTACAGCCTCTATTATCTAAATTAAAAAAGCTCAGCTACGTTTAATGTCGGCTGTTTGATTGTTATATAAAACAGTATTGGATTATAAAACGGGGGATTGCTTTTTATGAATGACTTCCATTAAAAACAGAGAGCATGTTGAAGAGGCCACAGAGAAGAAGAAATGTAAGTCTTCTTTAAAGGCAGGGCTCGTCTGTCCCCCCCCACATTCAGGTGGACGTCTTGAGAGCTCTCGGCGCAGAGATCGTGCGTACGCCCACCAGCGCTCGCTTCGATTCGCCAGAGTCTCACGTGGGCGTCGCTTGGCGCCTCAAAAACGAAATCCCAAACTCCCACATCCTGGACCAGTACCGCAACCCAAGCAATCCTTTGGCTCACTACGACACCACGGCGGAGGAGATCCTGGAGCAGTGTGACGGTGAGATGCTCTTTTATTTACATGCATGTCAGCTGTGGAGCTCACCTGGAGTGTTCCTTAACATCTGCTTCCAACAGGGAAAGTGGACATGCTGGTGGCGGGGGCCGGCACAGGAGGGACCATCACAGGCATCGCTCGCAAACTGAAGGAAAGATGCCCCAACATCAAAGTGAGCGTCTGTTTTCCGCTCTGAAAGGAAGTGAATTAACGGTGTTTAGAGCTGGGAATTGTTTCTGAGCGGTTCACACTGTGTGCAGATTGTTGGTGTGGACCCTGAAGGCTCCATCCTGGCCGAGCCCGAGGAGCTCAACAAGACCGATAAGACCCAGTACGAGGTGGAGGGCATCGGGTACGACTTCATCCCCACCGTGCTCGACAGATCTGTGAGTTAGAGTCACCTTCGCTTTTCTCATTTTTCCTGGCGCAAGACCACATGATGTAACCTGTCTTTGTTTTAATGTACAGGTGATTGACACCTGGTACAAGTCCGACGACGAGGAGTCCTTCAACATGTCTCGCATGCTGATCAGAGACGAGGGCCTGCTGTGCGGTAAGTGCTCTCTGCAAACACCAACAACTGGCACTCCAAGTTGTGAGAATTGTGAGAAACTGAAGTCAACTTTTTTTTCTCTCTCCAACAGGAGGCAGCTCTGGGACGGCCATGGCAGCTGCAGTAAACGTGGCCAAAGAGCTGAAGGAGGGCCAGCGCTGCGTTGTCATCCTGCCAGACTCCATCCGTAACTACATGTATGACTCTAAAACCTTTTTGTTTACCCGAAGCAGTGCATGCATTTATTTGAATCCGTTATGATGGGAAAACCAACTTCAGTATGTGAAGCTTACGAAACAATAAGTTAGGGTTTGATTATCAACTGAGGATGGCTCTTTATCCTTCAGAAAATGGAGTACAGAGAAGTTTAAGAGTGCATGTCCACTTTGGGCTTCTGTAATATCCCAGATTTTCAGTAATAAACTTCAGACTTACAGGAATAATCTCTTTTAAAATGAATACAAACAGTGCAGGTTAAAGCGGGGCCAACTAGATTATAGACTTAAAATCAGATGTGGACGGAGCTTCTTTGTTTCAAAATGAAACCAATGCTTCAGTGCTGAAACCCCGCATTCCTGCTAATGGCCAGTAGGGGGAGATTACACTGGTTGCAAAATATGTCAAAGTGTGCTCAAACAGAAGAGAAAATTAGCCTTTTATCGTCTGAGAGATTACCACAGTGTTCTCAATCACTTTTGTAAGTCTTCCTCACTTTAGCATGAAGTTAAAAGAAGACAGTAGAGGAGGGTGCCAAACGGGAGAGACTATCTGTAATAGATGAGTCACCACCAATATCCCGTAATTGAATAGTTAGTAGAGCAAGAGCAAACTGGGCATTCAATTTGTGCAGCTTTCTTCAGAAGAAGGAAGAACCTTCAGCCCCCCCATGTGGTCAAACGAGGTCATTTTGTCAGTATGAGAGGTCACGGTTGAAAGTAAGATCGATTAGAGAGTTGGAGGTCACTTCAGGTTCTGCTCTCAAATGATTCGAGCGGTTTGTTTGTTTTGTTTTTTTCCCCCCTCTGAAGGTCTAAATTCCTGAGCGACAAGTGGATGGTCCAGAAGGGCTTCCTGAGCGAGGAGGACCTCACGGTGAAGAAACCATGGTACGCGTCATTTCAAATCTACATTCTCTCTTTTTCTTCGATCTCCTGCCTTGCTTCTTTACGTTCCAACCCTCTCGCCTCTCCTCCTCGTCAGGTGGTGGAACCTGAGGCTGCAGGGTCTGAACCTGTGTGCCCCCCTCACCGTCCTGCCCACCGTCAGCTGTCAGAAGACCATCACGATCCTGAAGGAGAAGGGCTTCGACCAGGCGCCGGTGGTGGACGACGCTGGGTGAGAAAGACGATTTAAAAAAAGCTAACTACTACTTGAGAGCGTGACGTTTCCAGAGGCTTTAACTTGTTTCTCTGCGTGTTTGTTTGTGTCCAGAGTCATCCTCGGCATGGTGACTTTAGGAAACATGTTGGCCTCTATTCTGGCGGGGAAGATCAAGCTGTCCGACCCGGTCAGCAAAGTGCTCTACAAACAATTCAAACAGGTCAGTTATCTCTATTTGTGACTGCTGTATGCAAAGTGATGTAAAACAGTCAACGGCTAAGATCTTACTTCCGATTGGTCGACAGCAGCTGCCAATGAGGAAACGGGAGGTCTTCGGATAAGACTGTAATCTAGTTTGGGATGTTCCAGTTGTGATGTTTTTGACTGAAGCTCAAAAAGAAGTTATGAAACCAGATGGAGGGAATTTAATTTATCAAACAACTATTATTTATAGTTTGATGGTTTCATAAAAAAATCCACCAGTCAGGGCTTTTAAATCTCCTGTGTTGACTCTTCAGCTGGTTCTGAAACAGACTGGAATGAATATTTCTGCCTCTTTATGACCGGCCAAAGCAAACAGGACCATCAGTGACGAGATAGGATTCTGCTGAAACTGCACTTTTTTTCCGTTTCCATGGGAACAATTCTTGATAAGTAATACATTTTTCTGTTAAAAGACAGGAGGATGATGGTGCTGATAGCCTAGTGGTTAGTGCACGCACCCCATGTACAGAGGTTAGAAGTCCTCCAAGCGGGCCGCCCGGGTTCAAATCCGACCTGTGGCTTCTTTCCAACATTTCATTCCCCGCTCTCACTCCCTGATTTCTGAGTTTATCCACGATCATATTTCTTAAAAAAAAAAAAAATGTAAAGGCATAAAAAGCTGAAAAATAAAACACTGTTAAAGTGATCAGAGGTCCTGCTTCGTCCACACAGGGCGCCAAAATCAACACAAACAGAAGCTTCCTTACAACTTGTGCAGATGTTTTTATCTTCAGCATTAATATTGATCATTGTGTTTATCCGTTGTTACTCTTAGATCCGTCTGACTGACAATTTGGGAAAGCTGTCCCGCATCCTGGAGACTGACCACTTTGCGCTGGTGGTCCATGAACAGATCCAATGTAAGTACAACATCCAAACAGAAATGAATGCACTCATAAGCGTGTATTCTCACGTCCATCATTCGTTTGTTCAATTTTCTTTTTTTGAGCTCAAACATCCGATCAATGCAATTTTTATACAATATTTAACATTTGGCGCCCTCCAGTGGCTGTTCATGGATCATGCACTCTTATATCCCAAAGTGCACAAGATGTTGAATAAATGAAGACAGGTTTCAAACTATCCAAACATTTTGATAGATTTAATTTGTGCTGTATGTTCACACAGACATTCAGTGTCTTTATCCTTCCTGAGTCTGCATGTGCAGCGTCAATGTTCCTCAAGGACACACGATTGACTGCTGCATGTGAGCGCAGGACTCTGCTGCTCCTTCATGTTTGTGATAAGACAGGTGTAGCTCACTTGGTCTACTTGCCACTAATTGTTACTTTCTGACATGTTAGGGTCAAAGTCCAGAGACAGAGAATCCTAATTCAAAGTAAGGCCTAGAAGCGAGGCTAACATTTGATCTGGGTGTCCTCAGCGACGGTGATCCAAATTGAAAAAGAATTAGTTAAACATGAACTAAAGCGAGGAAGACTTCAGGGGGTGTGTCTTTTATTTACAACTGATTGTGTAACATTGACGGTAGGTTATCAGCATTTCCTCTTCCCTTCAGCAGCTCTCTGATTAAAACCTTCATTAAATGCCAAAGGAGGAGTGTCAAATCAATAATTGGCATGCACTGATCTGTTACATCATTTGAAAAAGCTCTAATAAACATTTTATGAGCCAAACGGCAAAGTTTAATGATGTCTACGTCGCACAAAAAGACTGTACTATACTGTAGGTAATGGCAGAATGTGGCTTTGAAGAAAGTTCAAAGTATTTATATTTAACCGTTCAAATTCGAGGTTCTTTTAGCAGCTACCTCCACATGTTAAATGTCAGGTGTGTTTTTTAATCTAATAAAAAGTGTGTTAATTACCTAAAACATACACACAAAAAAAAAGCTAAACATTGAAGTCGATTCATGACTTATTTTTTAACCAAGTCGGGTGACCGCTCCCTAAATTAGACAAGAATGAACTTCTTTATTGTAAGGCAAAAGACTAAACAAAAGCAGATAATAAATATGAAAGAGAAAAAATAAAGTATCAACCAAGGACAACATTTCAAAAGAAATCATTGGTTATGGGATATTCAATACAAGTTATGCAATCACTTCCCCCTTTGTGCCTCTGCTGGGTACATCGGTCTGTTTTTGTGTTTACACTAGCTTTATATGCTGACGTTTCCATATGGCAAACAACTGATGATAGAGACAACACTGCCACCTATCAGTCAGAAGTAAAACACATGTGTCTGTAGTCAGAGTGACTACATGTTCATCCACTCCTCTAAATAAGCAGGATTGTGTTCCTGCACCGCAGCACTGGCTTGTTCTTCTCATCTCGTTCACTCTCTCTTCCATACATGTTTTGAATTGTGCAGATTTGACAGACGGCTCTCCCAGTCTGAAGCAGATGGTGTTCGGCGTGGTGACGGCCATCGACCTGCTCAACTTCGTCACGGTCCGGGAGAGGAGGGAGCGATCAATGTCAGAGTCCACCGATGAGCTGAACTGAAACACCCGAGTACACACTTGTACATTTCTTCCATAAACATAAACACAAACAAAGGTTTTAGGAAACCATTCTTAAAAGATGTCAACAGAAGAAAACCTTGTTTTTGATTTAGTTTACCAGCTTTATTCCACTTACAGCAATATTGATTCATATTTTTCATGTTTGAACCTGAGTCTTAAAAATAATAAGCAACATGTGTTAATAAGGCAACCTGTGATGGGATTACTTGATTCTTACTTATATTTGCTTTTAGTGCTCAAAGCAAATCTTGTTAGTTTTTAACTCGTTGGAAGCTTTTAGTTTTATGTCACAGTCTTGAATAGAGGACTCTGCTGGCGTTTTGTTTGTGGGGAACATTCATGATTGTTTCACAGTTGCCTTGTGTATCAATCAAACATCAGATATAAGACATAGAATAGTATAAAAGACATTCATCTCATTTATCAAAATATAAGAAATAGAGAGTTGCTGTATATAAGCATATTATTCTTTCCAGTGCTGCTTATTATTTGCTGTTTCTTCGTTTGTGTATATGTGCACAAAAGATAAATCTGTGCAGTGTAATCATATTTTTTGAAAAAGAAAAAAAAAAGTCCTTTTCTTTTCCTCTCCTCTTCCAACCCATCCTCTGTGATGTGACTGTAAAGATGTCTTGACTATTTAATCTTAGCTCTGTCTGAGAGAAACGTTTTGTATTGCATCATTTTACCCGAATGAATGTATGACTTTAAATAAAGTTTAGAAGAAGTCTAACTCTGTGGCTGGTCCCTGTGTTACCCTGTTTGAGGATATGAAGATACAAATCAGCTCTCTTGCCAGAATGATGACTCCAACAAAAAGCGGGGTTTGGGGGATTTTACAGGAGGAAAATAGGATGAAGAGAATCGTGTTCTCAAACAAAATACATCTTTTCTAATCTGATTTTTCCCACAGTTTGCATGAAGAAAATTAAAACATTAAACCTAAAGTTATGAAATCCCCTGAAGTGTTGTTTTCAGCATTTTATGTTTCGAAACATGAAAGTTCAATATGTGTTAATCCCATCCTTTAGCCTCTATTATTGTCTTGTGTCACTTGTGCCTTTCGTATTTGTATTTTATTCGTAATTTGTCTTTCTCTGTTACCTGCCGAGAGACGACAGATGGAAACTAGCACTTCTGCTATAATCTGGCATTTGTACAGCTGTTGATTAATATGCACTGTGCCTAACAAATAAATAAATAAATAAATTAAAAATGTTGGTAAAAAATTTTAGCAAAATAATTCCCAGGCCAATACAGTAAGGTTAAACTAGAAATCCTTTATTATTATTATTAAGTAAATTTAAAAAATAAATTAACACTGTTTTTGGCTTCAAATGTCATTTTCATCTCACAATATTCTTCACAAATATCTCAACATAAAACTTATTTGGCTTTCCTCATACAGCCTATATCTTTAAAATGGAAGGTTTGTGTACAAAATATCTATAAAGTATTTTATTTTATATTAATTAAACTTGGTGAAAATATTCTAAATGTGAATAAAAATAACTGTGTTATTAAATAGTTAATTTTATGTACTGTTTTGTAACAGCAGAGTTACTTAAATAGCTTCATAAGTCATTTTTTCCAAGTTTTTATCATGGGACGTGAACGCAATTATTAGCCCTCATTAGCGCTATGTTTGTGTCTGCCATGTGGTTTGTGGCGCATGTAATCTACATCTCCGAACACCGCGCTGACGGGGCTTCGTTTACACCTAATCTGTTCTAATTGCGGCGCTCAGACTCCGCCCTCGAAGAGCTCCACTCCGGTGAACGCCGCGTTCGAAAAGGAGCGACCCCCTTCCCAGCGTCCAATCAGCGCGTCGTTGACCGCGGCGATGTGTTGTGTGGATGCAGCTACGAGCGAGGCTACACGGGCAGTATGGCGGAGGAGGGCAGTGTGTACGAGGGGCTCGACAAACAAATGCAGACTTTGTTGAGCCTTTACTCGAGTGATGACTTGCGAGCCGATAGCAAACCGTTCTGCTCCGACTTTTCCAAGGTAAGGGGGTCGACGCTGACGCTGCTGTCGACGATAAGAGCGTGAATGTTAGCCGACTCCCCTCCCCCAGAAGTGGCCGTTTCACGACTAGCATCGGCGGCTAGCCTCGTTAGCACAGCGCTAACAAGTCGTAGTCGAGTTAAAAACAGTCATTTCGCCGTAACGCGGTTTTAAAAACACTGTTTTATAACCTTAGCTTTAATTCAGGTGGCGACATCGAAGCGTAAGAGTCGAGAAATGTGTCATATTCTAACAAAGACATGTCAACTGCATAGCTAGGAAGCTATCGGCTAATGAAGCTAAAGCAGAGATAGCATAGTTTACACGGTGAATGTTTACCAAACTAAAGACTGGATAACTTCTTTATGTCACCTTGGCAACACAGTTATGAGCAGTTTTATTAACGAGTGGTTTAGGTAGCGTTAGTTTGTCTCTTTTTAAAAGGTTGCCAAGGGATTAAAAGCCTACTTTAATGAGACACTGATCATAAAATCCAACTTGTAATGTGATTTCCTGACCTGTCAAAATCCCCAACAGCAACAGCACAAGTATAGAATAGAATAGAATAGATCATAATAGCATAGAATAGATCATAATAGAATAGATTATAATAGAATATAATTACTTTATTGATCCCAAACTGGTTACAGCAGCAGGTTGTCCAAACACACAATATGAGTAAAAAACACAATATTAGCAAATCTGAACATAATATAATATTGAATACAAAGTAAATAAGTACTAAAAATATCAAAACTTAGAATGTGAATATATACAACCAGGATTTAACTTAGCATTACAAGTCTTAAATAGGAAGATTAAATGTAAATGTGCAAAAACAGAGTCGTAAATGGTTGTAAATTAAATGTAAATGTGCAAAAACAGTCGTAAATGGTTGTAAATTAAATGTAAATGTGCAAAAACAGAGTCGTAAATGGTTGTAAATTAAATGTAAATGTGCAAAAACAGAGTCGTAGATGGTTGTAAATTAAATATGGAAGATTAAATGTAAATGTGCAAAAACAGAGTCGTAAATGGTTGTAAATTAAATGTAAATGTGCAAAAACAGAGTCGTAGATGGTTGTAAATTAAATATGGAAGATTAAATGTAAATGTGCAAAAACAGAGTCGTAAATGGTTGTAAATTAAATGTAAATGTGCAAAAACAGTCGTAAATGGTTGTAAATTAAATGTAAATGTGCAAAAACAGAGTCGTAAATGGTTGTAAATTAAATGTAAATGTGCAAAAACAGAGTCGTAGATGGTTGTAAATTAAATATGGAAGATTAAATGTAAATGTGCAAAAACAGAGTCGTAAATGGTTGTAAATTAAATGTAAATGTGCAAAAACAGAGTCGTAGATGGTTGTAAATTAAATATGGAAGATTAAATGTAAATGTGCAAAAACAGAGTCGTAAATGGTTGTAAATTAAATGTAAATGTGCAAAAACAGTCGTAAATGGTTGTAAATTAAATGTAAATGTGCAAAAACAGTCGTAAATGGTTGTAAATTAAATGTAAATGTGCAAAAACAGTTGTAAATGGACAGTATTGACATAAGTTAAAGTGCATGAGTGTAGACATATTATCAGCAGAAACTATACGATATAACGGCGAGTAGACAGACAAATGAAGTGAACATGAGTGCGGGGATAATTTGTAAATTTATGTGCAACATGAAGTTACTTCTATTGAAGTAATAGATTCGTAAAATTCCTGGTGTCACATGACGTTATAATAGCCTTAATTACACAGTAATGTAATAATAATAGAGGTTCATCTTTTGTAGGATCATGAAAATATCACTTATTGAGGATTTCTTGTAAAATTTTGACTGTAACAGAAAAAGTTTATCAATAATATTCTTGCCCTTTGAACAATAGTGAAATAGTTTGGGATATTATTATTTTTCTACTGTCATGTTGGCACATAATTATTTGCCTCAGTATTAAAAACTTGCCTGAGCATTATCCAAACAGATCTAACAAATGCACAAGTTAAAATGCTTAATCAATGTGGCGTGCTGGCTGTAGTGTTTGAACAAAGGCCTGATCATTGTTGACAGTTCACATTCACAGGATTCCAGTAGTGCACCATTAGAGGGCAACACAGGCACATTGTATTTTAGGGATTTGACAGTTCTGTATTAAATGTGAGGTTGTAGTTGCGAAAGGGCTTACTTGCTGCTTACTTGTGCATTGCAGTAAAAAAAAAAAAAAAAAAGGGAGAAGGAAGCAGGCTGTTTTCTTTGGATTTTTTTAATCATGTAAAAATTGCAGGAATTAGTTGCAGACAGAAATATTCCCAGTTTCTTAAATGTATTTTTGTGTCATCCCCAGCATTCAAAGAATTAAATATATAATGAACCATATTCCTCAATAGAAGTGTGCAGAGGATAAAGTCCTACATGACAGGCCAGACTTCCAATCCAACCTGTGTCTCCTTTCCTGCATGTCAATAAGCACTCTCTCTTTCCCTGATTTCTATCCACTGTCCTATCTCTAAATTAATGCGTAGAACGCCAGAAGATAAACCTTCAAAATAGGCTTTTTTCACTTGAAAAATGAGCCGGTTATCATAATATTGACAACTATTTCTCAGTCAGTTGACTTGTTTTCGCTGCTCCAAATTGTTTTGGTAATGTTACAAACTGTTACTTGTTGTGGTCATTGGTCGTCAACTTGTTTTTTGTTTCGTCTTCTCTCCGTGCAGTTGGTGGAGGAGCATGCCTCCCACTGGCAGGTGCCGCTGCCTCAGCTCAGGATCCTTGAGTTATCTCTCTGCTACTTCGCCCGAGCCTCTACCTTCTTCACGTCAAATTGTGATCACGTGCTCCACACACTCAGTAGTCTGGCCTTGTAAGTATGCGCACCTTACTTCAGAGGTTGCTTGACTTCAGTCTTCAATTTAACTTACTGCTAAAATTAAACCTTAATGACAAATCAATTGTAAGCAGTGGCATAAAAGTATTGTGTTTAAAAGGGGTTTTTTTGGGAGGGGGGGATACTAGGAAACAGGACAGTGGATAGAGTAGAAACCTGTTTGTAATTGATAGCGGTGAGCTGTTTATGTTTATGTGTGCAGATTGTGCGTGTAGGCTACTTATGCACAGTAAACATGTGTTTATCAGGTATTCTTTATGAATGAATTAAACACTTATTGCCCCTTAGGGAAATGTCCTTGCACAATGGGCCATTGAAATATGGCGTAAAACATCACACAACCAAAGAAAAACATTCATCACAGAGGGCAGAAAGCATTACTATGATGTAGAGTTTTTTGCTAGTGTCATCACACGCAGGCAGCGAAACAACCTTAAAACCAAAACTGTGCAGAAAACTAGGAATATTCACATGTTTATCATCCACCTCTGAAGTAGTCTTGTATATTTGGGAGCAGTTGTTGCCAGTGTTTCTGGAGTTGAAGGCTGATAATGTTTGTTGGCTGGCACAGCTCAGTTTGTGAGCCAGGAAAAGGCTTGGCATGGTGCCAGCTGTTGACCTTACTCCATCCTGTCTCTCCCGGGGCTTCCCCAAGCTTCTCAATTAAGTGCATTCCTCCACCCCTTGACCAATGTGGATATCTTGACAATGTTCAAGAATACACAGCAGAATGTAATTATGAAATATTTAAACTTTTTAGAAAAGGGTTTTGTAGATGATGGGCAAAACTCTTTTCTTTTCACAGGAGTGTTTTTGAGCTGCTGCTGTTTTTTGACCAGAAGGACTTCCATGAGGAGCCACTGAAACAATTCACAGTTACATTCCAGGTGAGAATAAAATCTAGACTTCATAAGAATAATTACAGTTTGTATGTTTAACTTTATTTTCCTTTGTTATCAACAATCCCAGTCATAATTAAATCACTTTATTCCAATACAACACTATGGTGCTTTTGATGTATTTCCTGAAAGTTAACCCTTTTTTGTCCTCTTCCAGGAATGTTATTCGGCCCTTGCGAGGCATCAGAATGTTCACTTACTTCAGGTGGAGCGTTTGGTTCGGGGCGGTGGGCCTTGGGCCAGCTCAGTCTTACAGGCAATCCTCAGCGAGTCCAGTTTACCTCAGAGTGAAGGTACTGTACCCTACACATGTAACTGATAGTACACTATAGTAGTTCTGAGTTTTCTGTCCAACTAGCTGTTGATTTAAGATATTTCTTTCTGTCTGTGCCAAAATTCAATGTGTTGCTTTTGATTTCTATCTAATTTGTGTTAACAGAACTTCCATGTTGACTCTTACCAAAGTTAATATTAGTCTCAGGTTGGTTGTCCATTTGTTCAGAATGGTGTCCTAACCCAAAAACAATATCTGTCCTCCTTCTGATTCCACAGTGGACAGGTTCATCAGCTCAGAGCTGCCGGTGTTCTTTGAGCTTCGAGTACGCTACCTCTTATCCTGTGAGCAGCGGGTCAGTGAGGCCGTGGCCTTGGCTAAGTGTTGTTCTTTGCATCCCGCAGCAGGACAACACTCGTTCTTCCTCCAGGTCTACCTCACGTGGCTTCTCAAAACTTCACAGCATGACCGCCTACACAGAGAGGTTGGTGGACAGATGTACGAGTAAAATTTGCATGTCTTTCATTGATAGTGTGACTTTCTCTTCCCTCTGTTTCACCTGTTGCTGTCACCAGATACCAAATAACTATGCAAACTCGTATGCATGAGGGTCTGCTCTGATGCTTTTTTGTTTGGTGTTTTTAGGTAGCAGACCTCAACAGTAAAGATGCGATTCACATCATCTGTAGTTTGGAGTGTGAGGAGAAGGATGAGTTACTACTATCGCTCTGTAGAGCTTTCCTCTCCCAGCAACTCCGCAGAGGAGACATGTACTATTTATGGTTAGTAAACTTAAATGTGAGTCTCATGTAATGAGCCTGTTTGTGTTTCCAATGTGTGCATAAATTATAGCTGCTAATTAAATCCTTTTTTCTCCTTTAAGGAGACATTAAGATCAATTTAAACTTTCTCTTTGCAGTGATCTTGTGTTTGTGTGGAGTAAACTTCATAGTCGGTTGAAAACCTCCAAGCACTCGCTGCTTGAGGAGAGTCATCAGCTGATGCTGTCCGCGACCAATGTCAACTCAATCTTCCCGTTCATCAGAGCCATACTGCAAGAAGTAAGAAAGTCTTCATCTGAAGTGTATTTATTAAGATAATGCGTTGAGTTGTTTTGTACAGCTCGGTTAAGATTTCTTTATGTATTGAACTGAAAATTGAAAATGTTTTTTTTGGTGTCTCATTAGCTTGGTGAGGACGGTATCCAGTTCTGCGTGGAGCTTTGTGCAAACGCCCTGCAGTCTTGTCTTCCGTGCGACGTCATCACAAAGTCTCTAATATACAAAACCTTAGCTGGCCTGCTACCCAATGACCTGGAGGTTTGCAGGGCGTGCGCTCTTCTTGTCTTCTTCCATGAACGCTCTGTTGAGGCCTATAAGATGGTCTACCTTCTTTACATGCATCCTGATCAGGAGTACCACGTGGACTCTAGCACCATCAGAAATCATGTTCGCTTTGAAACCCTGCAGGTAAAGCCTCTTTGTGATTATCATTTCAGAGATTAGTTTTTAGATGACTTTGTTCTTTTCCATATTTTAATATTACCATAATTCTTTTCGATCCTCAGGTTTTGAAGAAGGATCTGCATTTTGACCCAGAGTTTTGGAACCTTATCGCTTTACGGACCAACTGTTTAAAGCTGATGAGTGATAAAGTGGTCAGCGCTGCCCTTGAAGAAATCATGGAGGACAAATGGATCCTAAAGTATTGCACCAAAGATTCTGCTTTCAGATCAGGCACATCAGTGTGTCACAAAGGGTCGCTTCAGGCAGCGTCTAAGAAGCGGCACCACAAAGAAGATACTGACGCATCCAAGAGATTAAAGATGGGCGCTGGCAGAACACGTCTTAACAGAGACCACACTGTAAAGAAGAAGGGCAACCAAGGGTCTCGATCTTTTCGAGATGAGTCGTCTAAACCTTTGCGCCGTTCATTTTGGCAGCTGGACAGACTACACGACAATGGTGCTTTCGGGAGTGGTGAACTAAGGCGCACTACGCGACACTCAGAAAAGAACCCACCAAAACGCAGGATTAGAAAACCAAGGTGGCTTCTGGAGGACTCAGGAACTCTTGAAGAGAATAGTGTTCCTTCCAAGATCAGAAAGCATGGGTTGAAACATCAAAAGCACCAGCAATCCTCAATCATTAAGGGGACTGAAACTGATCCGATCAAGAACAATGCAAAACACAAACCTTCAGTGAACTCTGATCTACTGGCGAGGGAAAACAGCAACCACCAGAAAGGAATAAGTCTGGACTGTGTTATACCAGCCAACCCTCCACAAGTTATTCTCGAGCTGTCATTACCAGACAATGAACTGATGGGTACGTTTAATGAAGAAACTTGTAACAGACAGAGGGGCTTCCCTCAAGTGCTCTTTTACAAACCTACTGTTAAACTTCCTGACGCACTGCAACCTAAGATCATACACGGGAAAGAAGTGATCCTCAGAGCACGGGATCCTGCTATGTTCATACAACAGCTGCACTGCTACGCTCGGCGGCAGAAAGGGAAAGGTAGCGGGTTGAACGTGCAAGGCTCAGTATCAACAATCACGCGCTCCTCTGTGCAAGGGAGTCCTTCAAAAGGTTCTCTGAGAAGGCGTTCTGAAAAATCCACAGCTGAGACGAAAGGTGGAATTGCTACTCGAACAAAAGTTAAAGAAACTTTACAAGCAGTCCCTCAAGCTCAAACTACAAAAGCAGTCTCGCGAAAGACGTCAACAGGCAGAGAGCTTTCTGAAAAGTCTTCTGTGAATATGAAAGACACCCATGCGTTACGGACGTCAGCAGGATCTGAAGTGAAACAAGCCCCTAACAAGTTAGATAAAGTCCAGCAAGGTAAAACCATAACTTCTGCAAGAGAGCTCTGTGAAGGGTCTGCTGTTGAGATGAAAGTGACTATTGCATCACAATCCCCAACATCCCAAGGTTTAGATAAAGTCTCCAAAGCTCACACGGTTAAAGACACTTCAGAAAGCACAACTTCAGCTGAGGTTTTACAGACTACAGCTACTGATGACTGTCCAAACACTCGAGCTGCTGATCGGACGCTTGAACTTGAGCTTTCTTCCTCTCAGGCTGAGAATGACAAACTCTCAAACACTCCGGAGCGGCTCAAAAATCTCAGCAACGGCATTCCCGACAAAGATGTGATGGATGTGTCACCGAAACTCTCAAAAGAACATGTGCTTTGTGAAAGACCAGCAGACCAGGGCAGTTTAAATGACATATCTGCTCTAACGTTGGTTACAGAAATGGTTACTGAACTGGCACCAGAGAAAATTGCTCGGGATCTGGAGAATCAGAAACCGCCAGCTCCAGAAGACACTGCCTCGAAGGAGTCCAAAGCTGGAGTTAAACCTAAAGTTCCTCACAAACCGCACACTACCTCCAGCGGCTCAGCACAAGGACTTGGGCCATCTGAGTGCACAAAGGACATAGATCCAGATGAATCTGAAGAAAGTGATGCTGTAGAAACAGAGGAGTCTAGGTTGGAGTATTGTTGTACCTTCTGCAACAAGGTGTTTAAGGGGAGTCACGTTGTATCACATGCTATGTTCCATTATCGTAAAGACGAGTGTATGTTCTGTGGGACCATTTTTAAAGATGACCTCCTGGCCATGATGCACCTGTCTAATCATATCGAGAAGCTTAAGAGGCTCAAAGATACATCCAATAACAACACACGAGAAAACAGGGTCTCTGAAACCAAAGACCACTCCACACCTAGGAGCTCTGCCAAAGCCAAAACCACAAACATTTCCCCTGGGCACAGTGGTACAGGAAGACTGAGGAGATCTGACATCTGTTCAAAATCAATAAGCGATCCAGATTCAACTCCATCTGGATCCAGAAGTTTAAGATCCAATGACAAGCCAGAAGATGTTTCTTCTCGGCAAGAGAAGAAACAAAACGAGGGAAAGCACGTTAAAAGCAAAACTCCTGTACACAAGATAAACGGGCATATTGGTGAAAAGAAAAAGCTTGGCAGACCGAGAAAGGTCATCCCAGAGTCGCAAGCAAAGCAGGATGTTTCTCAAGAAAGAACCAGTGATGGAGCTGAGAGTCCAAGGTTGCAAGAGAAACGAGATGTAGCGGTGGATTCTACAACTTCAGCTAAGGAAGAGAAAAAAATTAGCACTGAAGTTAAAATGAAGGAGAAGAAATCTCTGCAGGTTCAGAAAACTGTGACACAACAGGCGGTTACAGAGAAACAGTTGAAACCTCAAGAAAGTCTTGAGAAAGTTTGCTGCCCTATGGATGGTTGTGCTTGGTTCAGAGACCTGTCAAAAAATCGTGTTGCACTTCTATATCATGCCCTGGAGGATCACTATGGGGAAGTCAAACCTTTAAAATTGGCGTTTCACGTTGGAAACGGCAAATGTAGTGTTTGCATGAGGGTTTTGTGGAGTTTTGAACACTTTCAGCACCACATTGAAAGACACAGACTCACTCCTCGGTATCCTTGCCCGCATCAGGGTTGTCCTGCCAGGTTCAAAACTGGAATGGAAATGAGACGCCACGCAAGGAGGCACAGTCCGCTGCAGGCAGCGTGCTGCCTCCCTGGCTGCTCAAGACTATTTATTTGTCTCTGGGCACTTAATCTTCATGAGAGAGAGCACTATGGTGCCAATCCCACTAAAGCAGACAAGGACACAAATGAGCAGCCGGGTGACAAAGCGCACAAGCCCAAAGATGAACCAGCTGCCGTGACTCTGAATGACACTGTAAGACTAAAAGCTGGTCATAAATTAAGAAGACAAACTGCACATAATCTGTCAACACGGACGCATGTCAAAGCTCCTCCTCGGACCAGTGTCAGAGCATCTTTGTCCAAACAGCAAATAAAAGAGAGCAGTGAGACCAATGAATCACAGGCCCTGAAGAATATCTTGAACAAGGACACACCCGAAGATCCCTCTGGCCCTAATCTAAGATTAAGGCAAAGGTTAAGGAAAGTATCATCCCTCGCATCTCACAAAACTCACAAAGTCATTTCATCCTCGTTGTTCAAACACAATATCAAAGTGAGACACAAGTTGAAGAAAAAGCAAATTAAAGTCAACACAAAAGGTCCAAAAAGAAGAGGACGGCCTCCCAAGTCAAAGACAGCTGTGCGTGATGAAAACACAACCGCCGGTCCAAAAAAAGAAAGCGTAGAAGAACAAAGTGCTCCAGAGAAGCATCAGAAGAGCGCTGATCATCTTACAAGCTCTACGCCAGCAGCAGAGACGTCCAATGAGAGCACAGAGTTTAAAGCAGAAGAGAGTTCACAGGAAGACAAAACTACAGACGCATCAGCAGATGGAGCAAAGTGTAAGAAGTCGATAAACAAGCAGATCAATGAAAATCATGTAAAACAAAAGAAGATCCTCCATAAAACCAGTTTAAATCTGTCCACTGCCACCAGCTCAGCCAACAAAACACAGAAGTCAAATGATGACAAAGAGAAGAAAGTCCATACAGCGAAGAAACGCTCGAATCAGAACCATAGTCAGACTGCCTCTTCAGACTCTACCAAGTCAAAAAAGCACAAGAACTCAAATAATGACACAAAAGAGGACGTTTGTCTTTTAAAAGAGCCATTGAAAAAGCCTGCTGAGTCATCATCCGTCGTCCCACAAGTAGAAAGTTCTGCTAACGAGGAGGGAAAGATAAATGTGGAAGAGGCCAAATCAACACAAACCATCTCCGATAACTCTGTGCCTGCTGTCCAAGCTAACAGTTTAACTGATTTCACAGAAGCCCCCTCCACCTCAGGAGAGAAAACCCAGGAGGTAGCAACAGAAAGGTCAAAGAAATTGCAGAGATTAAAAGAAATCATGAAGAAAGAAAAGAAAAATCGTACTACTTCTTCGGACTCAGGCAAGACACCCAAGAAGCAAAAAGATGCAAAAACAAAGGGGGACAAGAAATCAAATAAGGATAGACAGCCGAGGAAAGATTCAAGAAAGACATCCTCTGTGAGAAAGACATCCAAGTCAATATCTGTAGAACAACCAGAGGAGGCTAAAGCAGCAGCAGAGAGATCACCTCATGCAGAAGAAAAATCAAATGTAATCCTTGAAGGCTCCGGTTCCTCCGTCCCTGCAGCATCAGATAGCAGCTCGAATGAAACAACGTCTCCAGCAGCTGTCAGTGAAGAGACGACGCAGGCGGCTGCAAATACAGAAAACTCACAGAAGTCTCACGCTGTGAAAAATTCAGACCCGAGCAAGGCTAAAAAGAAGGCCAAGGTTATAGATGGTATCAAAAAAATTGTTAAGAGGAAAAGCAAAGATCCATCAGCGCCTAAGAAGCTGAAAAAGTCAAAAACGAGTCAAGTCCAGGCACCTACTGAGGGCAACGCAGAGGGGACAGAGAAACCTGTAGGTCAGGAGGAAAAAGCATCTGCAGAAACGCCACAATCCGCATTACTAATCCCCGGGTACTCCAGAGTGACAAACGGACAAGAGGCACGCGAGGACGCTAAAGCCATGCAGTTCAAGCAGACGCTCGCAGAGTACGGGAAGAAACCATACATGCGCGCTCCGCCTGAAGCCTACCTGGATGAGCGGTACATCACCATGCCAAAACGGAGGAAGGAGATGTCGCCGCCTCCGAGAAATGTCTCTCTTGAGAAGGTGAAGGTCGCGGCGGCCGTTCAGAGGCAACGATGTGCCGACTGCTTCGCTACGTTCAACAGCAACGGGGAGCTGCAGAGTCATCTCCAGCTGCAGAATTGCTCGAAACTGTTTGGATTCGACTCTGACGACGAGGGTGAGTCTGACGTCTTTGTCGCTAACATCTTAGGCATCAAGCTTAGAGAATAGGTTATTGATCTGAATACAGCTCTGAAAAATGGAAGCATGTGTGTCTTAATGACGTAAATCACCATCTTGTGAATCCAGGAAACATATCAGTACTGTCACCAGGCTGCATTTTAGAGCTCATTGTCGTGACTTTGAAAGACAAAAACATTTCTTGGCAGATGACTGATGGTTCGGTCTCGGAGTTCCTTTTATGTTAGAGACGTCAAACAAAAGCTTTGAGTCATGTTCACCCTTCAGGAATGTTTTTCCTCGAGCTGTTACTCCAGTTATTGGAAAATCCAACGTTTTATAGGGATTACAAAGGGTCGGGCCATGCCTTTTTAATGTAGGCAGATTTTGAGCATCCACAGTTACAGGTCACATGGGAGGAGAAGACACTATATTGTTTGACTTTTAAGTCTCTCCTTGATGGCATGAATAAAAGCAGCTGGAGAAGAAGCACAAATTCCTCCTACTCTCTCACATCCTCACAATTAGATGATCACTGCATGTGCTGGATTAAACGTCCAATTTCCAGGTTCAGGAAGTTAAAGAAACTGTCGGACTCGGTCGCTTCTGTTCGGTTTATTTGAAAGGTTGGACCCTCCAAAAAGCAGCGCTAATAGCACGGTAGCAGTTAAACTGTAAAAGACAAAAGCAACAATCAAATCGAAGGCAGCACTCCCGTCATCTCATGTAGCTTCTGTGTTTGAATTCATAATCGTGTAGTCTTCAGGTACAGCATGGCAGCAAACATGGGATCAAGTCGTTATTGGAACAATATGCTAATTTGTGTGATTCTGTTGTCGTCATTTTCATCGATCTTTTTTCTGTTTCAGGCAACAGTTGAACATCTATTTGGACATTTTGGATGAGTGATCTCCTGGTCCCGGATCAGACCTTGATGATGGATCATACCTCAAAGGATCAGACCTGTCTGGATTATTTAAAAACTCTTGTCAACAAGAACTGTGAGAAGTAAAAGGGATCCCCCGTCTTCTGCCGCAGCATGTGCCTGTAACGGGAGGCCCTGGAGCGGCCAGAACACAAAACCGACGGATGAACGAGAAACTGAAGTGAACCGCAGTCAGACTGTTGGCAGAACAGTTCGTACTGAAGTGCCTGCTCTGGAACCGCCGTGCTGTTTCCAGCTACTTCACCTGGGATGGAGATTGTGGCTTTAAGGCGGGACTTTTTGAAAGCTGTGAAAAAAAAAAAACTGCTAAATAACGAGGCTGCTCGTGCTTTCACTAGGATACATATTTTCACATCAGTAAGCCATATAACGCCATTTTTATTTGCTTTTTGCACTGTTTTCTCATTCGATTTCTTTCTGCTGAAACTAAAAACCACGAGTGTATGATGATTGAAGCACCGGAAAGTCGTGCTTTTTTTATTTTAGCTTCCTGAGGTGACACGAGATTAAGACTAAACTATGAAAAGTTGTAAAATTGCTGTATAAAAGAATTCTTTGAGAGTTTTTTTTTTTTGTATGATTCTTGTATAAATACTAGTTGTATTTCTTCAACAAAGCTCCCTATGGGGTCGATTAGGTCTGTGTCTGCCCTTATCATGAGTAACCAGTAGGGGGCAGTGCTGGCCACCTTTATTATGATAACAGATGTTTTTGGGTTTCTCTAGCAAAACAAAAACTGATCATAAATTGCATTTGTTTTTGCTTTAGAACAATTTTAAATCTGAAGCTGCTCTGCTGTATTTAACTGTAGGGAATCATGCAACTGTGTTACTTCCATTTTCACACTTCAAACTGTGTTTCCTTTAGCAATAACAACCACAACATGTGCCAGTTTCTGTCTATTAAGCTGCTGGATTCTCAGTCATTCACTGTTAGTCTTGCAGCTCGGCTTGTATTCTTTTAACCGCAGGTTTTTCAGTTTTACTTAAAGGTGATAGAAACATTGTGACATTTTCTTTTAGGGTGAATGTTCTCTCTGATTAGTCCTCTGAATTATAAAGCTATAAACAAGATTAACGGGAGCGCAGCACCCTTTTCTTCTCATGAGCAGCAGCAGGTTATATTTATTTATGTTTCATTTTCTATCTTTTGTAAATATTTGAAGAGTTACAACGGCTTATATTAAGGGGTGAAGGAGGCGGGGTTTATATTTTGTTCTGGAAGAAAAAATTAAACATTTAAAAGGACATTTTTATGCTGACTTTATTATGTTGTCCGTTGCACCAGGGAGGTGCAGGTTTGTGACAAGACGGGGAATATTGTTCTTCACTTCTGACAACAGAGAAGAAGAGTGGGAAATATTGAGGATCACGTTGCGTCCAATCGGGGAAAGTAAACATGTTTTGTTTTCTTGGACATTTGAGCTTCACTGTACAGAATATGAGGATGAGAAGAAAATAATTTAAAATATCAGTCTTCAAATGAGCACCAAGATCTCGAGTAAGTGCTTCACAGTTTTCATTTATTGTGTCGCTGAGTTATTCTAAAATAAAAAGAAAATGTTTTTTCTTACATTTTCTTGCTCACAGAAGGAGCTGAAGCTGCAGTGAGAAGACCTGGATCTGCACCTACTGTGCCCTCAGGTGCAGACTCTCACTACATGCAACGCTATGGACGTTCAGGGTAATTTGATAAGCAAAGATTATAGTATTACTTTGAAATGAGTCATTGTCATCAGAGCAGAAAAAGTGGAAATAACCCAGCTGAGTCACAGTGAGATGTTTAATTTCCTGATGTCATGTTGAGGTGGCTGAAGCTCGACATGTCTAGTAGTAGTAATGATTTATTCTAATGTGCTGTCTGCTTATAATGCAGACAGACAGACATTTGAAGTGGCCGATCAAAAGGCAGACGGTCACACAGGCCAGACAGAAAGACGATCTCTCTGTTTTCCGTCTGAGTCAGTTTTGCATGTTTGTTTGTTGTGGTAGACAGACGGAGGGTGAGGGAGAAACTGGAGACCGCAGGAAGAGTCAAGTTCTCACCCACGGTGTGTTTGTGTGTGTTTGTGTGTGTTTGTGTGTTTGTGTGTGTTTGTGCGTGCAGAAGGGTGGAGGAAGCTGCCATGCACTCCGGTTACTTAAAGCTCCTGTGAGGAGATTGGAGCTGCTCATGGAACAGGCTGAAATTAATACTGAAGACTATATGACCCACAAAGGCAAAGTAGACATCAGCATAAAGATTGGCTACTTCCATTGTTAACTTTGATGTTTTAAAACAACACATTTTAAACTCTTATGTATTTGTATCGCTTGATATATGTAACATCTATGGACATTTGGGGGTAGAATGACATCATGCATTCTTCAAAGTTTCCTAAGTGAACTGTTAAAATGATTCCCCTACAGTGCAGGCAAAGCAACATTAAAAACATAAATCAAATTCTACTTTGTAATTAAAAGCCGCAGGAAGAAAAAGACACACGATTAATTTCATTTCGTTTAGTTTCGAGAGTGACTTAAATACAGTATTTACAATTGAACACGATTCCAACTTCCAATCATCAGTTTTAAATATGACAACGTTTAAATTATTTACAAGTAGCATTGCTTAAAGTGAGTCAAATTAAATTACCAGGAGAAGTAGAAGTGTTTCCAAGTGTTACAGAAAACTGTGCTTGGAGTCGGTCATGCATGAAACATTCAAAGAGCAGCACTGCAGGAGAGGCAAGTAGAAACTGGAGGATATAATAGCTGTTTGGGAGTGTTTAAATTAGCGTTTTATAGAACAGGGTCTGGCATCAAACCTCTGCTTTCTTGAGCGGAGGAAATCTGCAACAATAACCAAAACATACTGTCACCTTTTCCAGTTCAACTCGATAAACATCCTCTAGGCAGAGTCACTTCACATGATTACTGCAAAATACATCCTTCAACCTCTAAAATATGTTGTTACTCAAGGCTGCCAAAGTGAAGTGAAGTCGCCTGCAGCTCTAGAAAATGAAGCATAGAGTCTGGTCTGTTATTATTTTATTCCACTTTCCTTTCACACAGTCACATGTGCTGTTTGTATGGCAGCTTGGTGGTTAAATATCGAGCTCAAACATGTTGCAGCAATTCAGAGTTTGATTAGTCCATTCCTCCTTTGCTGTCGTACGTTTACTTTTAAGTTGTGATTGGTTGCTTCCATTCAGGCTCTTGATTCTTGTAGGAGTTGGACTGTATACAGGCGGACTTTTTGTGTGGCTGGGAAGCACCGTCCTCCTTGGCATAACAAACAACATTCATAAAAGTCCTCAAACTGTCCGTTTCAATCCTGCAGTTATAAATATGTAGGTCCACCATCCTAACCTCTTGTCAAAAAAGGCATCTCCTCCTTCTTGCCCCTCTGTTTTCAGGCCCAAAAGTTTCAAGCCTCGTGCTGCAGAGCACAGGCTGAGAGGCAAAAAAAAAAAGTTTTAGGAGGGGGGGGGAGGCAGTCGTGCTCCTTTCTGTATCAGTGATTTCTTTGTTAGTTCCACTCAGGCCTCATGTAGTTGGGGATGCACTGGCAGACTTGGTGGCTGTAGTAAAAACCAGTCTGGCACACAGGTCGGGGCTTTCTGCACGGCAACCTGTAACAACTAGACAGAGGGGGAAAACAAGGAGAGTGAACAGAGGGAAGAAAAGAAGACAAAAAGAGGAATTATAAAGAAAGACAGATTTTAAAGGGAAGGGTGCGGTTGATAGGAGAAAGAGCGGGGGGAAAACACATGGGAGCTTATTCTTTTGGCACAAACACTATTGATTATTCAGATCCTCACATCCCTTTTGGATAAACCCTGATCCAAGTTTTGGTTTGCATCAAACGATTCTGTGTGTGAGAAAAAGAGGGAGTGTGCCTCCCAGGAGGGGAGGAATACGGCCAAATTCTGTGAACTCTCCTCTTCAAAATCACAGTAGGTGAAGGCTTTAATCTTGTGATGAACCACCTCCTGTGACCAGATGTTGGGTCAAACATAAACAGAAAAAAGGAAGATAGAAGAGTAAAAAAAGATGTTGTGTTGAATAACATCCTGTAATGGGTCTTTATGTGTTAAAGAGCTCAGCTATTATAACCCCTTAACAACTCTTTTTAACAGCTTACTAATGACAAACTAGGCATTTGTTAAAGCAGTGAAGACGTTTCTTGGATAATTAAGGGACTTAGTTGCTAGAAAGATAGAAACTAGCATCATTAGCTGTGTCAAAACTAAAAAAACAGAGTTCATTGCTAAAACTAGCTGAGCAGCTGGATTAGAGGATGTAGACATTTTGATGATCTCTTCTAAAAACTAGTTTGCATGGTAGATGGTTTAATCAAGACATGAAATGGGTTACAATACGATATTGTACGATGCAATAGACTTCATTGGACCCTTGGGGAATTTTGCTCCAGTGCTTCTTTGAACTTTAAGCTTTATAATTTATCATTCTTACTTGACCTGAGGGGCAACAAGTGTCAAAATAGAGAAAGCAACTTCCAAATCAAGGCTGGGCAGCTCATAATGAGTCTCATTAATAGTGAAAATTGTATTTATATTAACTCTTTAGCTGAGACAGAGACTCTGCTATGAAAGGTCACTTTTATAGACGTCTCTGAACTTTCCCACATTTAGGAAGCCGCAATTGGAAATCACTCACATCATCGCACAAGTCGGCCTGCGTGTTTTTCTTTGTTGCTGTCACTCCATCCATCTCTTTGCCCGCCTGCCAGTCAGATGAATGCTCTGCTCTCTCTCAACAACCTCACCCTGTCTCCCCCTCTCTGTCTCTCTGCAGGCCTCTCGGGTCAGAGGGAGGTTGATCTCTGACGTGATGGCTGTGGGAACCGCCACATGCACGCTGAGCGCAATCACCCAGCTGAGACCGTTATTGAATATTTTCAGACGCCCTGTTTCCATAAAAGGTCATATTGAAACATGTGTACAAAAAAAACCCCCACAACTTTCTCTCTTTGAGTTTGGAATGTATGTCTCCATCGAGAGTTAGTATGCTTTCTCCCCCTCTAACTTCCTTTCTCTCCCTCTTTCCTCATTCCTTTCTCTCACTCAGCTCCAAGATTGAAGAGATTTGATGGCACCCAGGGCTTAGTCACTTCAAGAAGAGAGGACAGGCTCCGTTCTGCCAGTAGAAGCCGCTGGCTTAGGTATCAATGAAAAGTAGAGCTTATGTTTCGCTTCAGTGCTTTCATAACGTAGGAGTGAAAATGGAACATGAAGTGAGAACTATCTTGTCTAAAACTCTGAGTGAGAGCTTTGAGTGAGACCAACCAGAACACATCTGTGTCCTACAGGTACAAATCAGCATTTGGAATCACTGAAGAAGTTAAATGTAGACCAGTAAAAACCTGCTCGGATATAAATTGCCTTAAAACAGTTATGCCAAAGGCGCAGTGTATTGATCAAAGCTCAAAGACATCGTGACCTCCTTTTGCCTTTGAGCCCCGATGACGTCATCTACTTTCCCTCAATTACCACTAATACATTTCATGTTCCTATAAATCTTTAAAGGTAGATTTAGTGTGTTATGGGGTAACATACGGCAATCGGAGCCTTTGAGTGTACGGCAAAGGGAAAAGCAGTCTGAAAGGAGGAACTATTAAATAGAATGACTTGTTTTGGCACAATCAAACAATGACTCTTCCACATGTGTTGTATTTTACAACGTTGACGTAGGAAGCGGAGCTGGATTTCTCCTTGTGTGGTCGTGTCATAGGTTAAAACGAGCGACAGACACATTTCAAAGAGAGTTAGGGGTTAAGCTGGCAGAAACCCAGACTGGATTCTTGAGATTAATTAATCCTCAAATGACACAATTTCTCTCTGCTTATCTTTCTTAAAGGGACCATACTTTAAAAGTATTGACTCTGGCTTGAGGAGGACGGAGAGGATGCCTACCTGCACGTGCTGGGCTTGAACCTCTTCCCCTGCCGTAGACAGGAGTGTGGACTCTCTCTGCACTGACACAGGCAGGTGTCGGGGTTCAGGGGCTGATTCCCGGGACACTCTGCGGCGCAAACGCAGCCACACAGCTCCTCATCCCACCGCTGACCTGTGGGGCACAGCTTCCCCTCACCTTGACCTTCACACTGACATTCACCTGGGACCAAAAGAGAAACAAAAAATAGCAAGGTATTATAAAAAATGATCCCCGTCTTTATCCGCCACAGCATTGCGCAACTCTGTCTGCGTTGTAAATATTTGGTGGTCTGGTCCTGACATGTTGCTGTAGAAATTTGCATAAAGCCGGAGTTCCCAAAAGCCCCTTTCTTCTCTGATTAATCCAGCTGGCTCGATCTTGCCCGGTTGCTTTCAAATTAGTTTACAGTAAATCCTTCCTTTTCAAAACCAAGGCAACACGTAGATAAAAATGCATTAGGAACAAATTTGCACCAAAATACTACCAGGCCTTAGTAACAGTTGCTATCCGAGCCCAGATATACAGTAAATCAATCGTCTGGGTTTTCATGTCTCTTGAACAGCAGTATAATGTGAAGTATCTTCAGTAACTGAGACCCTCCTTACAGGTGTTGTGGTCCAGTTTCCAGCCTGGATCACAGCTGGCCTCTGTGAGTCCGTTTCGACATGCACAATCGCACGTGGACTCGTCCAGAACCCTGTTGGGCCCGCAGAGCGCTAGGAGACCTGAGTCCAGCGCCTCTGGAAACCACATGGAAAGAAAGTAAAAGCAAATGTCAATTATTTGTTTTTTCTCGCTTTGGTTTGTTCTGTTGTTGATTAGGTTATTTAGAAACACTTTGTCCAGGCTATTGAAAGTTTGTGGGTCAGTCCCAAGCTTTGGTCCAGAAACTTTATCCAGACCTTCATGTTTCCCAGAAGAGGAACGTTACATCCCTCCACTACAATGGAGCATTTTGGCTTCAACAGAATGCTGCATTTAGTTCACCAGATTAATCAAGCTCTATAATCAGGTCAAATGTATTATGAAAAATGTTGAGTTTTCTCATTGCCATACAGGAAGTGCAAGAGGCATGGCATTTGAACACATGTGGAATCTCCATCAATTCAGACACACATGCACGCAGATGTGAAACTTCAAAGCGCCGCCGACTCTGACGCTACACATAGCTACCGTCTTCCCGTAATCTGTAACTACGTCAGATGGCTCGATCAGGGGCCAAACAAACAATCAGGGGCCCCACCTCCCTGCCCCGGTCCGTTACTCATGTAGGTGAGGCATAACGGGCGTAAATATCCTGCCTGGAACTGGCAATATGGGTTTGCTGGCAATATGGGTTTGCTGGTTTATTATTAGACAAAGAAAAAGTAGCTTGATGTGGAGGGTACTGTTGTCACTGCATGTTTATACGAGTAAAATGCCACAGAGACAGATTCTTATCTCATCTTACATTGGAATAAACATTTCCTAGGGGGGGAACTCATTCCAGATCGAATTATATGCGGCCTGGCTTCATCGTTGTTGTCTGGCGGCGGATGTGGAATTTTTTAAAACCTTGAAACTAAACTAAAAAAATCTGGCTCATGTCCCAAAACCTACTCCGGTGTAGCAACACTTTTGAATGATATGCACTCTGGAAAAGGGCAGGTGGATTTTATTCTGTGCACTAGTAGTTCCCCAAGCAACAGCAGAGCGATACACACGTTTATCTTTTAAGATATAACAGCACTTGTACAATTTACAACATGAATGTGTGACTCTCCACTTTAGTGTTTGTTTCATGGTTTGTTTAATCTCTGCTGTCTATTTCAGAAATATCATCCTGAATCATCTGCTGTAACATCCAAACACTCTGAGGTGAGTCCTGTTTTTAATTGCGGCGTACTTTTTTTTTTTTCGTTTTAAGGATGAAACTTAAAACTACTTGTGAGCTGTGCTTTTGCTGTGTTGCTTCATTTTGACTTGGCAAAATCCTCATAATGATCTCTTAAGATTTAAAGAGTGCATAAAAGTATTGGACTAGGACCCAAAATAGAGTTCTCCCAAGTGGTGGTTTCTCCTCGCGATGAAGCCGTGTCACGTTTGCAGACCAGAACGGCTGAAAGTATCCAATAAATCTTAAGAAACTATGCAAACGAGAGAGAGAAGTCAACACAAATTGTCTTATTTCTCTCTTAACATAAACTTGCTCTTATTTTAAAACCATGTGAAGGATAAAGCAACAGAATCATTTCACCGACACTTACCTATCTCTCTCTCGGAGTAGTTTATGGTGTCTGTCGAGACACACACACAGTTCACTGGATCCCATAACGACCCTGAGGCGCAGTCGACATCAGGCGGTGAACACCTACACAAACACAAACACACACAAACACACACAAACACGCGCACACTCGGTAAAAATGCGAGGATACAATGACTCAGCGATGTTTACACACGTCACTGCCCACTCACAGGTGATCTGCCGCGGCTCGTCTGATGATGGAGTGGAGCGGCCGCTTTGAGAGGCATTCGCACGAAGTGTGGTTGACAAATGTTACCATGACGACGGAGCGATCCATCCTGGGTGGGGACAGCTCCATCAACTGGTAATAGAGGGTGAAAAAAAGAGGTGTGTCTGTACTGAACTTTGATTTCTTAATCTAGTTTGTTGTTTATCTTTATTTTCTTCTTCTGCTGCTGTCAGATCAGCTTTACTGCTCGTGACAGAGTGTGTCTGATGTTTAGAAGTTGATGTAATGCTTGGGAGGTTGTGAAACTGTGCGTGATTGTGTATTGACTCGAGGTCGAGTAGCAGCCAAAGGGCGTCCCCCTGCTGTACAGCTGGCTCTGAAACAGAGGAGCTTGGGCAGATTGGTTTCTGTCCTCGTCTCCGCGAGTTAATGAGTGAGTCAATTCTTAAGCTGCGCATGGAAATCAAAAGGGTAGGCACAAGAATGAAAGTCCAGCTGCGACACTTACTGTCTTGTTGACGAGCGAGTGACTTGTGTTGGTGCAGTAAAAGGCCTCGTTCGTGCAGCAGCCGCCGCACCGATGCAGCGCCACACAGCGTGGGAGGTAGAACTGACTGGTGGATTCTGGGTATTCTTTGGTGACCTCAACGCACACCTCTCTGGGCTGGCACGAGGTCCGCTGGATCTCCTCTAAGATGACTGGAAACAGATGTGATTAAGTAAGAAGAGCTGTGTTTGCTGACACTCAGAAAACAAGAGAGCGTCTGTGCACTGTGATATTTAACAACTGATGTAGTTCTACGGCTACAATCTTGTTTACCTCCTAAAGTCCCGTCCACTTTGAAAAGAGCCTCCTCCCTCGGCTGACCCCACAGATCGTCAGAGCGAACTAAAGGACTCGACGAGGAGGCAAGAAAAGAGGGGGAAGAGTTGCGCCATGACTTCCTCTTCAGGCAGTGCTGAAGCAGATTGTATTCTGGGTACAGAACCTGTAGTAGCTCATCGACACTCGTCACTGACTCCAAACTGGGCTGGTCATCAGACAACACTGGAGCCTGGAAGACAGCGAAGCACACATGAAAATAACTGTAATGACAGAACACTTTTTTGTATGTCGCACTCACTAAGAAGTTACTGAGTTTGTGAGCAAATATCAAACCCAGCACGTCTGTTTGAGATTTAAATTTAATTGAAAGCATAAAAATCTGCCCTGCTTGATATTTTGAAACAACAGATTTGAGGTCGATTTGATCTGAGTTGAAGTTTTTGGAGGAAAACGCTTAAATACTTCAGAATTCAGTGTGTTAAGAGTCACTGGGTAGAGCTGTGAATACCTCAGCTACCAATGTGTTGTGACACGTTACTGTTGGCTACTGTTGGTTATTGTGCATACGTGTGTCCTCTCCTCACCTACACACGCACACATTGTTGCATTTGAGTTCAAAGGGAAGCTTAAGATGAGGTCGGCGTTTGTATTTTTCCTCCTACATCGTCGCCTGAGGCAGTGTGATCAAATTTGAAAGCACTCACCCTGCTGCTGCGGTGCCCTTGAGCAAGACGCTGTAATCTGACCCACTTTTTTTTTTTTTTATGTGTGGAAATTTGTGTTCCATATCTGCAAATGTCAGCATTTTAAAGTGTTTTTGGTTGCTTTGTTGTTTAACTTTTCATTGTGCCTGTCTTTTATGCGCCCTCCGTGACAAGTTAAACCACCGACCTCCTACGCAAGGAGTCTTTAAATGCAGCACTAGTCCTTCGTTAATAGACCAAACAGAGTGTAAATTGCCGCCACAGCCAACACCCATATCTTCATTTTATAATCAACAAAGAGGGCTTTATGTGGTGAACTAAGTCCATTCAGAAAACGTAGTTTACTCTAGAAAAGCTTTATAAACCGTTCCTGTCGTGAGTCATCCCCATAATGATTTTTTTCACCCTTATGATGTATGACTTTGTTCTAGCCAGCAGAAATACAGTAGGCGGTGAAGATAAAAGGATAATTATATAACAAACTGGGTGATAGAGATGGTTGTATAATCTAGAGGGAGTGTAAGTCAGCTGGTAGTTTGAGTATTGTTTTGGTTTTTGAGTTTCCCTTGTTTGAAAAGAGCAGACAGGCAGCTGGCATAACCTAAACAGAAACCAGATTTCTGTTGTTATCACAGCTTTTATTTAGCTCTCTTTCTTTATCTACCTTTACATTTCTTTGTACCGCCTGTTAGATGTCTCAGATCTTTCCCACGGTCAATTACCTCAGCTTGTAATCACGGCTGTCTTCATCTCAGCTCACATCACTGTTATCTTGGCAAGTTAGCATGCTATCATCGGCTAATTAGAGATCAAGAAAAAGTAGAACTGAGACATATGGGGGAAGTTCTTCATCTGCAGGTATTAGGAGAACAAAGTAACTTTCCAACCTGATGATGCAACTTGATGAAATATCACAGATCACCAAACTAATTAAATTCATCCGCCTGGGGAAGCTGCGTGCCAAATTAGATAGCAATCTATCCTGTAGTTGTGGAGACATCTCACTCATAACCACTAAATGTCAACCTCATTAGGGTTGTATATATTTTTGATAGGCCAATAATTCTTGATACTGTGTGGAAAAAATAGACCCTCTGTTATTTTAATGATTGATATAATCGAACAGTACAGAAGCTTCAGTCACAGATCTTCAATCATATCTTTAACCAAAAGAGATTTCATTTATGGTTCTTAAAGACAAGAAATTGCCCAATCTTGGGTGCTTTGGAATTCTATTTTGGTTGCTTTGCTATTGAAACAGTTTTATTAAATCATTCTAACTAGTATCATCCCAAAGTTTTAATTTTGGTATCTTGATGACTGAGGATGGGCCTACAGGAAAAGTCAGGGATCCTTTAAATTAGGAGGTTTCATCCTTTGGGGATCATGAATGTGTGCACCCATTTTCATGAATCCATCCAGTAGGTGTTGAGATAAGCTTCCTGCACGAGAAAAATACTTTTTGTTCTCTTTGGCCATGCATTCTTTTCAGGTAACCATACTCTGTCTTGCATATTGGAGTATACAACTATGTGAACAACTGAATCAAAGTTTTTTTAAATGTTTGTATAGTTCTGTTTATAATATCATTGGTGGTTGAAAGACAAAGCTGTAAGGACTCAATGGAGAAAACAATGCCAATCAGAAAAAACCTAAAATCATTCTATTAGTAGTTGAAAATATAAGATAATGAGCAGGTTTTTCACCGCTGTTGAAACATTTGTCCAGTTTACAGTTAGTATCGTATCAATGGTATCATCTCATAAAACACATTACATAATATTGAACCACAGTTTTATATTACACTAGAGATGGATGCTTCTCCCTCTTCCATTTCAAAGTCTTCCCGGATTTTTCTTCTTTCGTCACTCGCTCTCTCACTCTCCATTTGTATTAAGTGATCACATGACATGAGTTCATCGCTGTGGGACTATGAGGTCATGATGGATAAATTACCAGAGCTTTGGGCTCCATCATTAGATACTGCTGCTGGCACACAGACACATGCACATACACACACCCATGTATTAATCAATGACTCTCGTTCTGTATTAACCTTTTACTTTTCACACAATTTACTCTTAAATGTTCCTTTCCTCAACTATTCATAACAGACCTTTTCAATTTAAAACTGTTTGGAATTCCACTCAGCCACAATGGGATGGCTCAGTAAATTACAGAGTGAGTATAATGACTTACACAACAAGGAAGCTTTTAACTAAGCGTCTTCCAAAGAAAAGCCCATTAGTTAGACAAAAAGTTTCTCTGCTGGCTCATTTACAACGAAATAGATGATAAACCTTGAAATTACATGACGTTATGTTATGACGAGACATTTGGCGCAAAGGAAATTTGACTCCATTGGTTGAAATGGTCAATTGGATTGTAATTGTATTAGAGCTTTAGGATAATGATTACACCAAATAGAGTAGCTTTAGAAGTGTTATTACCAGATTATTCGCTTAATTTAATTACATGTCAAAAATAAACCTTGATCCACCACAGCAGTCAGGCTGAAGACCTTGATAGTTTAATATGTGCTTCTACTTGTCTTATACCAGGCAATATAACTTGGCCATGCTGCTCTCTGTCTTCTTATCTTTAAGGTTAGGTCAGTTGTCCAGAAATATTTGGATAAAGTTGAGGTGTTCCACAAGGATCAATACTAGGTCTCCTGCAATTTAGTCCAAAAAATGTAACTTACATTTTTTCAATAAAAATAACTTAATCAATATAATCAGTTTTAATACTACTGGTCTTGTTTGCTTTTGTAGGTCATTAAGAAGCTACAGTATTAATTTAAGCATGTTTTATAACCAATTAAAAAGTCCTCACAGGAGCTTTAAATTCAGGCTAAGCCATTGTTTTTATAGATAATGTTGGATTTAAATGTCTCACCTTGGTGCCCATGTCTCCAGTTTGATAATAGTCCATATAGTCTTGTCCTGAGCACAAATTGCTGATATTAAGAATCCATAGGAGCACAGCTGGTATCCACATAGTGAGGAGATGAGGTAGAGGAGAAAGGAGGAGAGGAGATATCAAAGGAAATAGGAGGAAGTTATTTAAAGCTTGATGTGAACTGAAAGAAAAGAAGGAGGAGAGGAAGGTGAGGAGTCTGGGGTAGAGAGGAAAAAATGGGTATCACAGATGAGGAGAGTATCTCTTTGCTCCTCTCGTCATTCTACCCAGGGACAAAGTTGCTCTTCCGGCGCAGGTTATTTGAATTTGGGAAACCAGCTGAATAAAACATGATGAGGAAATCGTTTCGTTTTCCTCGTGTCAAACACAGCTCCTTCTTTCTTTTCCCTTCAGAGGAAGTCTTGTCTCTCGTCTTGCTGCGTCTCCATGCTCACCATTGATGTCAGGTGTCTGTCCTCGTCTCTGTTTGCCTTTTATCTCCTTAGTTTTTCTTCTCTTTGTCCTTCAACTTGAATTATTCTGCCGTCTGTCTTTTATGCAAGTCCGTTCTTTCTTATTTCCAGCCTTGATTCCCCTCGTCAGTGTCCTCTCCTTCGCCCTTCACACTTTCTTTATCTATATTTTCTCTTCACACAACAGCTGTGCTCTTCCCTCCCTCCCTCTCTCTCTCTTTCTCTCTGTCTGTCTCTCTCAGATTATCGCTGCCTCTTTATCTGTCTCCTGTTTCTTCCTCAGAAACCTCCAGGGCAAAGCTCTGTCTGTCTCTGGACTTTTTTTTTTCTGTGTGTGTGTGTGTGTGCGCTGCCGCTTTCTAAATCTGTCACAACTTTTTCAGTGGGGCTGTCTGATCCTCAGAAAAGCATCAAAGCGAGAGAAAAAAACGAGGAAGAGCTTATTCCAAATCCTGCTCCCAAATGGATTTCTTTCTCTTTTTTTTGTACAAGTTTCCAGCTTTTGGTATTAAGTTCTCTTCCAAACAGAGTGAACATGCATCCTGCTCGTGGACGTCCTGGTGGAGTGAATGAGAAAAAAAGAATGGAAGGATTGTATTTTGTGGGTGGAGTGAAGGATTTGAAAGAGATAACTCATGCGTTACAGCATATTATGCTTGCACTTTTTTCAAAAAATTGCAAGCTATTGAGTGTCTGAGTGGCCCAGTGGTTTTGAACAGACACACTTTCCCATCATTCTCCTTTTACGTTATTAAAAGACATTGAAGGGATTTTTTTTCCCACAACTTTACAAAGAAAACAGATTAAACTGCCAGTAAGAAATCAGATTATCCTCCCACGTTCCTTATCTCTCTCCCCTTTCTCACATGTTTGTTATCTTGATGTCTTTGCAGCAGCTGCGGTAGGATTTAAAAAGTGTGTGTGTGTGTTCGGTAGCAGCCAGCGGGGATGAATGTGCGAGTCGTTTAACTGCAGCCCTAAGTGCCTTTTTTATGATCTGTTAATACCTCTGCTGTCTCCCTCTCTCTTTCTCTGCTTTATGTCAGCCTCCTCCAATTGCTGTTGGGTTTCTCCCACCCCAGCGAGCACGATTTTAGCACCAGGACTAAAGCCGCAAAATCTGCCTGACACCTGCAGCTCTGAACACCTTTCCTGCTTTTACTCCTTTACACTTCATCAACCTTCACCTCTGTTGTCTTTCCTCCCCCTCTCACCTCTTTGTTTGTTCCTTCCCCCTCGTCAAGGACCTAAAAATCACAAACTTGACATACCTCCTTTAACTCTGTAGCCCCAAGGCTGTGAGCATGTGTGTCATGAAGGATCAGGAGGAGAAGGGGGGGGGGAGAAAGGTGAGCAGCAGCTTACATCTTTTCTTTTCTTTTACCTCTCCTAGGGCAAATCAGTTACTGACAACTGTAAAATAAATTACGGGGATGTCAGACAGACAATCAGACGGGGAAAGAAGAAGAGGAGAGACAGACAGGAGGCCGACATCAAGACGAGGAGGAGGAGGAGGAGGAAGAGGGAGAAAGAGGTGTGTCTGGGAAATGCTCGAATGAGAAAACATCCGATTTTTGGGCCAGTCACCGCCAGCCTTCTTCAAGGATTAAAGACGCACACTCTCATGCACGCACATGTCGGCAAGTTTCTGCTTGCAGTATGCTTTATGTGTTGAAATCCTCACAACCAAGCTCCACATTCCAGTCATTGCTTTCTCAATTTCATCATGTGAGCAGGATGCATAGAATAAGAGATGATACAGAGGGGCTTTTATGACCAGTGCTTGCTTTTACCTGTACAGAGGAGAACTTAAACCAAGTGATTTTAATATTTGTCAAAAGAAGCTCAACCACAAACCAAGCATAGCTAAAGCCTCGCGAAAAGTCAAAGATTTTGGCTGTAATCGTGTGCAAAGTGTAACAAAAGACAGAATGATGTGGCTCAGAAGAAGGACGTTTATGTGGAGGCTAAAAGGAAGAGATTGATGCTTTGTAAGAGGGTACAGCAGAGAACTTTAACCTCTGTGATAAAAAATAAGAATCATCCAGGAGTCATGTAAGACGCTGCAAACAAACCAAATGTTACTACAGCCTCACCAGTAGTTCAAAACTTGAGGCATAACAAAAGTAATAAAAGATTGCATGATTCCCCAAAGGAGGAAAACGATGTGCCCGTGAAAAAACGATTCAGTTTACAGTAATCACTGTTTTGATTGTTTAATAGCCGCCGTGTCTGTGACGGGTGAACTTCTTGAACCTGCCTAAAGTGAAAATGCTCTCTCTTGACACTGGCTGCTCTCATACAGGCAGGATTTTTGAGGGTCGCACATCATAAAGGCCGATATCAGTTTTCACGCTGCAACAAGACGAATGTTTGTGTTTTGTTGTCACATGTGGCCGACAGATTTGTTAAGCTCTTCATGAGATGGAGAAACACAGTTGTAGTCATTAGAAGAACAAAAAGATCGTCAAGGTTGGGAACTGTTCAGAAATGGTAGAAATCTTTCCAAAGTCCAACTGAATAGGAAAACAGAACTCGTCTTTGGTGTCTTTAAATACAACAAAACAACAAGAAAAAGGAACATTTAATCTGTTACAAAGCCGTAGTGTATCAGAATGAATAACACAGTCTGTCACTGATGGGAAAATAAGCTTGTTTGTCTGTTTTCTAAGTTCCTCTATTTTACCACATCTGTCATAAGCAAGTTTTTTCCTAACATAAAAATCCACTTTTGTTTGTAAAAACAAAACAAAACAAAGTGTACCCAGTGCTTTCCATAAAACAAAACAAAACAAAAAACAGGGAAAGAAAATAAATCAGATCATGTGGTTTTGGGTGCAACTAAAAACTTGTCAGTGGACAGGTGGTTTGTTAGTTTATTATTTGTTGATTCTTTATTTTTTAAAATATTGATAAAACAAACCTGTGGAACCGGGAGAGGTTTGAGAAGGAGACGTGTACGTTTCAGAAGCACTCAGCATTCCCGTTCTGTAAAAAAACATAAATAGTGAGAAGGTTGTTCTGAAGTAACACCCAATCATTCATCAAATTCTTAAATGTCACATGGAGCCATAAAATCAGCTTCATACCTATTTAAACTGAGACTCAGATTGCAGATAGATGGCCTCAACTTCACACGACAGCGAACAAGTGTTAACACTGAGACAGGATTTCATTGGATAAGAGGCCTTAAAATGTCATTATGGACACTTTAATGTAAGTTGTCGTTCTCCATGACATCGTCGCCTTGTAATCGAACACACTGTTGAAGCAGGTGATTAAATACTTTATTGGTTTTGAGCAATACTGGACCAAGTGCTTTGTTAACAAGACCTTAAATTAGGGGATATGATAACATGATTTATGGTGGTAAGCTACTTCACTGAAAAGAAACCTACACATGGAGCTAAGAACAGAAGATGGTGTAGAAAATCATTAAGATGAATGAGTTTAAAAAAGTAAGGTTACCAAGAAACAAAGTGGGTAGTGAAGAAATTTGGATTAAATGTTGTGTTTATTGATTTTAAAGGGATGACAACAGTGTTGAATTCTGCATATTGTGACTGCTGCTGATGATTGTGGTTATGTGTTTGTCTCTAACATAACGTAGAATCTGTGTTTGATTTCATAACGCAGGCACGGGATGATCCACCCCCCCGCCCCCCCCTCCTCCTCCTCCTCTGCAGCCTGATTGATGGAGTGGATGACGTTGGAAATAAAAGACTCCCTTTCCACTGAAAACACAGCAGGTGTTACAGCTACATCCCTTCTATTGCTGTTTAAGAAGAAACAAACAGAGTCGGTGTTTATTTTTTACCTTACTTCACGGTGACTTTGCCCTGGAAGGAATGCATTTGGTTTCCTCTGTAACTCAGCTTGAAGCGACCAGAAATATCAGCCTCCTTTTGAATCATGCATGAATAGTCAGACTGAGTGGCGCCATCTGCTGGTACAACCATGGAGCTCTTTGATTACTAAATCAGTGTTCCTATATTAGATCTTACAAACAGGGAATATTATCAGCCACAAACAGAGGGTGTTAAAGGTTGCTTGTTTACTAATGTCCCAATGGTTTACAAATGTAACCCTGTCCTCCCTGCAAGAGCCTGTACCCTCTTTTCTCTGCTCTGCCTCCTTCTGTTCCCTCCTCTGCGTCCACTCTCTTGAATGGTGCTAAGTGTTAGAGAGTCCTGCTTTCTGTATTTGTTTTTCAGCAGGAAGGTTCATCAAGGCCTTGAAGGTGCAGCCCTTTCAGAGTGATTGACACTGGAGGTGCCCTCTGCTTTGCCTGCACACAGCTGTTGACACGCAGGTAGGAGCAGCAGAGAAAGGTTAACTGTTGGAATAGACGTTTTATTTTCATTTTTGAATAGAGATCAAGAACTGTCATCATTGACAAATCACATGGTAAATTGCATGACACTTTTTTTATTACCATGAAACTGAAAACAACAAAAAGTCTGGTGTATTTTATAGTCAAACATTTATTTGTGGTGATGTTTTTTAGGGTCATAAGGTGGTTCTTTAAAATAACAAATGTTTATTTTGGATGATTATGTATGTGGTTTTTATCAAAATTGGAATATGTCACTTTTTCTTAAATTTAGAAAGGTTAGTATGTTGTTCTTTAAGGAAACAATGTAATTCTTTTAATGTAGAGCTTTTTGTGAAAAACATGAGCTACATTTCCAGTAAATTCAAAAATGTTGACCAAAAACTGAACTAAATGTTTGCGGAGGTGGGTTGTTGTTGTTATTCTAAAGTGTCTGGAGATAAGTTTTCTTATGATTTGGAGCTAAGTGAATAAAAATGGATTGATTTATGAAAGTTAAGAAACTGTAAGTTTCTTGTCATGTCACATTGGGACACCTTTTTTTTTTTTTTGGAAAGTGACAAAGTAGATTTATAAAAAAATTTAATGAAGTAGAATTTTGATGTATTTGTGTATTGTGAAAGTAGCTCAGTGTTGTTCTGTGTTTCAGGAGAGGACGTTCCTGAGGAGGAGCAGCTGAGGTCCAAAGATCAGAAGAGCATCGAGGTCAAATCACAACACTCCCATCATCCATAACCTGCCGCCAGGCTGGAGGAGGCGTCTCGGTCGCCGGTGACGAGCGGAGCAAATACGAGGAGGACATCAGCTACCTGAACAACAGCTGGATGACAAGGTGAGACTAAACTCAAACAGAAGACACAACATGAGAAGCACAGTTTGAAGACAACCTGCTTCAAGATTCAAACTCAATACAAATACTTTCAATACTTTTCAGGAGAGAGATCAGACCAACCTGCAGCAGCACAAGACGGTACAGATATGTTTTAGGAGAAAGTGTTTAAAGTCTGCATCTCAAGGTCTGCAGAAACATACAGACTGTTTCACGTGTGTGTGTGTGTGTGTGTGTGTGTGTGTGTGTGTGTCTGAGCTGAACAGTCTGCAGAGAAAGAGAGCTACCAAGTCCTCAACCTGCTGCTACGAGACCTCAGTGACATCGGCGCCATCATCGGCACCAGTGATGTCAACACAGCTGTGAGAACGGACACACACAATGCTCAATGTCTTTAACTTCCCCCTCATGCTCAGTCCTCAGAGTCAGAGGGGAACGGCTCGGAGGTGGAGCACGCAGGCCGACGTCCACTTAAACATTCGGGCCAATGACAAGGAGGCATGATGGAGACGAGGACATCAAGGTGAGGACACACTTTGTATTGTCTGTAATCCGTTTCTACATCTCCACAAAACTCTGGAGGAGCAGCTGGAGAACCACCACAAGCAGCTCAGCCGCCTCAGAGACCAGATCCGAGACCAGCAGAGGATGATGGACGAGCTCACAGAGTAAGTCCACCCAGTTCATATGTAGCGCTTCTCATGTATCAACTCGTCGGAGATACAGCGTCCTGGCTTCTTCTCTTAGAACTCACGTTAATCTTATTACTATTATTGCTCCTTTAACTTTATAGGTCCTGTATTTAAACCTGCCTTACCTTGCTTCCTCGTAAACAAAATGATTTAAATGACTCTAGTGTGATGACATGTTTTACCTTTAAACACTGTAAACGTTCAGTTTTTAAATATCCTTATTTATTAAACCGACCAAGAGGTGAATATGCATTTTAAAGTATTTATTGATAGATATCAACGTATTTACTTCTTAGTAAATCAAAGCAAACAAAACACACTCTCAGCTCTCATTTAGAGTATCAGAAAAACGACCATGAGGTAAATGAAATGATCGGCAAGTACTCTTTAAATCTGACTAATGGCACTCTTGAGCCACCATACAAATACTCTTATGATGCTTATCTATTTGCTCATGAAATCATCGTGTGTGTGTGTGTGTGTGTGTGTGTGTGTGTGTGTGTGTGTGTGTGTGTGTGTGTAGGTGTCTCTCTTCTGGTGACACCTGTCTCTGTCTCACCTGCAGAGGCCTGAGACGGAGCAGATCACCTCTGAGATGCTGAAGAACACGATTGGTGATGCTCATATTGTCTTTTATTGTTTGTTGTTATTTTGGTAGTTGAGTACAGAAGCCTTGAGAGGACATGCTGTGTTCTTGTGATAAAGACTTAAAATCAGCTGTTTTCTCCACATGAAGTAGTTTTTACGGGTAAACCTGGAGGTTATCTCGAGGTTACGACGGAAAGAAGTTGAGAAAGAAAACAGAAATTACTCGTTATCATGAAAATGAAAATGTTTGGATGTTTGACATCAGCTTGACTGGATGAAGAGAAACGTGTTGAAAATCAAAGATCCTAAAAACATGAAGATGATCTTAGAGCTGAATCAAACAGAATCCAGTTTTGAGACTCATGAAAATGTTCATTTAGTGAGTTTGAAATGTAACTGAATGTTTATCGACGTGCGAGCTCGGCCGGTTGAAGTCGATCGAGTCTCTGACTTGTGAACTTGTTTGTGCAGAGGATCGGGGGAGCGTGGAGGAGGAGGAGCGCAGGAGGAGAAGTTTCAGACGGCTCCGTTAGAGGAGATCGCCGCTCACTGTGGCGCCCGGGTGAGTCTAATCTCTGACCTCTGACCTCTGACTGAATGTTTGTCTGCGTCTGTGTTTGTTAATAAAGTTTGTGTGTCTGCAGACATCGCTGCTTCAGTCCGAGGTCTTCGATCTGATCATCCGTCCGGTCACTTGCAGCCGCGCTCCACGCCGCTCTGTGAGATGAAGTTCCCCGACCTCTGTGTTTATTAGACGATCAGCAGTTATGTGTTCAGTATCCAGGTAGGAGAGGAGACAAGGAGACAAGGAGGCAGGAGAGGGGGCAAGAAGGAGACAGGGAGACAAGGAGGAAGAATGCAGGAGACAATGAGGCAGGAGAGGAGACAAGGAGACAGGAGAGGAGACAAGGAGGAAGGATGCAGGAGAGGAGCAAGAAGGTAGGAGAGGAGAAGGGGAGGGGACAAGGAGGCAGTGAGAAGGCAAGGAGACAGGGAGACAAGGAGGAAGGATGCAGGAAAGGAGAGAAGAAGGTAGGAGAGGAGATGAGGAGGCAGGAGAGGAGACAAGGAGGAAGGATGCAGGAGAGGAGACAAGAAGGTAGGAGGGAGGAGACAAGGAGGCAGTGAGGGGCAAGGAGACAGGAGACAAGGAGGAAGGATGCAGGAGAGGAGACAAGAAGGTAGGAGAGGAGATGAGGAGGCAGGAGAGGAGACAAGGAGGAAGGATGCAGGAGAGGAGACAAGAAGGTAGGAGGGGAGGAGACAAGGAGGCAGTGAGAAGGCAAGGAGACAGGGAGACAAGGAGGAAGGATGCAGGAAAGGAGAGAAGAAGGTAGGAGAGGAGATGAGGAGGCAGGAGAGGAGACAAGGAGGAAGGATGCAGGAGAGGAGACAAGAAGGTAGGAGGGGAGGAGACAAGGAGGCAGTGAGGGGGCAAGGAGACAGGGAGACAAGGAGGAAGGATGCAGGAGAGG